CCATCATCATCATCATCATCATCATCATCATCATCATCATCATCATCATCATCATCATCATCATCATCATCATCATATAACTACTTTTTGATTCATCATTATTATCAACTTCGGTATAATCACGGTGTTAACTACGATATGTAATACACATGATAACTAACGTTTTTAATCCTTTTTTCTTAAGGATGATGGTGTCGCCATGCGCAAATAAGTGTGTTTCTAAAGAAAGAGCCTTTGAGACTAAGTACCCAACCTCGCCGCCATCAATGGAGACGGTACAAAGCGCTGCGCATGTATTGCTTGATATAGCAAACACGCGCACTRCTTGTCATRAACCATGTGGGATTGTGTGATAACTAGACGAACGATTTARATTACGCATGTGCAAAAATGATCATCGTTGGCGCGTGGTTAATGATACAACTTGAGAACAAAGGACGGCACTTACGCATAAGAAACATTTTTGTTTCAGTCCGTTCGTTTTCACTCAGGGGTTCATTTAATTCATTCGTCCATTTCCTTTGATACATGAGTCAAATGTGATTTTTATTAATAATCAATAATAATATATAATAATTTGTTTAATCATAAGATCATAGCACACTTTGAAAAAATATTCGTTTGTCGACCATTTAAGCAGTCAGAGGAAAAAAAGGAAATTACAGGAGAAAGCCATTTTTTCTATTCATTTCCCCTTTCTAAATAKACTCAAATTAGGGCTACGTGATAACTGAACACTTTGACTGCGGGCTCGYCTCGCCCTTCTGCCCATATTAGGACTGAGAAGATTACGATTTGGCTGTGGCAGTACGAGATTCTTGGTTTGTCGAGGAGTCAGTGACGCTCGTTTTTGATTTAGAGAAGGATGAAGCCCTCTTGCGGAGGTGTTTCTGTTAAAGCGTTCGTCTTTTTGCTTGGGTGGCGGAGGYTTTAAACGTTCTGTTTAGATAAAGGTCGTTAATTAGTTTTTTACCTCATTGTAAATTTTCACGATAGTTGAAATTTTTATCATTAAAGGTGAAAAGATGAGTTTAACCATAATTATTGCACGTCACGCGCACTCGTTTCAATATATGACGATATACAGTCAACTCTCGCTATTACGGACATCCTCGGCACCGTAATTTAGTATCCGAAGTAGCGAGAGTCCGTAATAAAGGGAGTTACTTTCAGGGTAGGCTGCGAAGGAGACTACATTCAGTCATTTCTTTGCATTTTTCTTCAGGGATTCAGTATTTCGTGTCCGTAATATCGAGGTGTCCGTTATAGCGGGGTGTCCGTCATTGTAAAAAAATCGCGCGCTTTAAAGGTTGTAAATTTGATYTAAATATGATGTAAGTGTCCAAAATTCTGTAAATTTAATGTGTAAGGCGAGAGTTGAATATAATATAGTATTCACCCAAGAATTCCTTGTTGTCTTCCAAGCTCTCCAACGATGGAACAAATGTCATTCTATTCCCGTCTTGTTCTGTGGAAAAAATTCGTAATCAAWAGTCAGTATTAATTAATGTTTGAAGAGAGGGCCCTATTAATAGTTTAAGGGACTTCAGAACTTTTATCAGGAGGGAGGCTTGAGAAATGAGCCAAAAAAATCAAAACAAGTTAATTACGCTCTGTGCTCCCCCCTGGCCTCAGTCAGTATTTATTATATATGTCGCAAATCGTGGCACGCTATGGCTTTTCTTGAAAAGCCACTTCAATAAGTATTCAAGTATTCAATGAGTATTTGCCCAAAAAACACAGAATCTAACAACGTTGATACTTGGTTTTAGAAGTTGCCCCCCCTTAAGCACATAAAATTAGATTTTGCCCCCATCCCCCCCAACCCTACCCCCCGAAAAATATTGCGCAGTCCCTAATGTTTGAAGAGAGTGGTCAATTAATAGTGAAGAAACTTACTTTCTCCTTTGACAAGAATGAGTATTTCTCGACTTGACAAAAATTTAGTTGCATATTCAAGAGGGTTGTTTAATAAGTTCTTGAGACATCCAGTCTCGTCAGATAAATCAACAATATCTACAATAAGTTAAATAAAATACGGTTACTCGGGCTTCCTTAYCATTGCTGCATGAATAACAGGGATTATAGTAATCATAATTATCTTTCCTTACGCGGTCAACATTTTTAAAGTAATTGTTTCCGGACTTTTCAAGTTAGTAAGTAATAAGAAAACAAACATCTGTTTTTGCTTTTCTTTGTAATCCTTCTATGAATGGAATCGGAGAAAACGTAACCGGAAAATGCTTTTGGCAGTTTCTTTCGGTCTTTTTTGTTGCCATCAGTTGTCATGGTTTCCAATTTAGACGATTTATATTTACCATCCTCGTCACAGTCACAGCGCTCTTTGATGTTGCTAAGCAACAAACAGCTTCGGCAGTCAGGGTTAAAAAGCTCTTGTCTGTCATCTGTAAAGACGTGAAAACACTAAATGAAAAGAAATAAGCGGAAAACTGTCTGCTTTATAGTTGGGATTGATTTGCTTCCGTACTTGACAGCAACTGGAATCTCTTCTTTTAATTTAGTTGGCTAAACAGTGCATTTGTAGGTTAGACAGTTGACAGTGCTGTGTAATTGATGGATTTTAGAGAAGTTTGCAACAATAAAAGATCACTTTTGAGGAAAAGCGCGAAAAACAACCCGACAAAATATCATGAGGCACCTCAAACAAGCCAGTTTTCAATGCAGTTCTATTCAAACACATAAAAGAAAAGCGAGCAAACTAATTTTTTGAATAAACTTTCTTAATAATGTTGAATAAGGATTATCACATCAAGGACAAGTATTAATAATTGAAAGATTTTAAAATGACTGAAAAATAGCGGTCCGCTCAGCGAATTATCCATAAAACGTATTTTATAATTGTTGGAGTTAGGTCTAGCCTAGAGCGTTTAAAATGTTTTCTATCGTGGAATAACTACACAGTATCCACCAGCATGGAACCTGAGAATTTTTAATTGCTCGCACTACTTTTATATTCGATCAAGAATGGAAACTACTCTTAAAGCACTTTGCGTAAAATTCTCTGCTTTTAATCGCCGCTTGAATCATTGGGAAATATTTTCAGAGATAAATGCCTGCCAATGAACTGTATTAGTTGAATTGTAAGGTGCCGTTATTAATGACCGCAAAAGTTACAGTAATTCTCTTTTTAATAAAGCAGTAAATTTTATAAAATATCTTTCTTTTTAGCAAGGTCACGGTGAAATTTCCGCTTCGTTATCTTCAAGAAACTAAGACTGAAGCTACTCTCGTTGAAATCGCTCATACAATACAATAAAGCTCTAAAATTCTACTTTTCCCTATTGTTGCTTGAGGTCAGGCGAGTACAAATAAACTTTAAGAGTCATTTCTTCCTTACCTGCATATTTTACGGTTACAAACATGTTGAAACTGACACGGATGTAAAAAAATATATATTATGTTTATGGTAGGTGATGGGTCCTTTGTCAGAAAAAAACGGAGAATGGGTCCGCTCTGTAACATTTACCGAAGCGATTCAGTGGTGTGCACGCATAGTAAGTTTATTTATATCTTCTTGGGGATAATGTTTTTTTCTCTATTGTTTTTCGCACACCTGCTTCTCAATATGTCAATGTGGTGATCCTTCAGGATTCCTGTGTTGCAATCAGACCGAGAGAAACTGGACTTAAAGAAAACAAGATGGCGGACGAATCGTTATTATCAGGGTTTTCCGTCTTTGGGGATTAATATCTCTTCAAAAATCGGAGTTATAGTTATTTGGAAGTAATTCAAAGAATATTTAATACTCCTTTGACACATCGGGTGTCATTTGTTTGTGAATAGTTTCGTTTTATTGTGTAAAACATCGAAATGTTTTCCGCAAGTTCTTCAACCAACTTGTATGTGTTTGCTGTTTCCAGAATCGTAAATGTCTACAAACGACTCACCAGACTTCCAGACTATCAAACAAGACAATAAGAGACTGAAGAAAGATGCCGCCGAGCTAAAATCTCAAGTAGAAGAGTTGAAAAAAGAACTGAGGTGTTTAGAGAAGAAGTTGAAAAAAGCCGAATACGAGAAAGARAATGCAGAAGGGCACGTTCAGAATTTGAAYAGGGATTTGGATTCTGTGCGGAAAGAATTRTATGAAGAAAAACAYAAATGGAAGCAGGAGAGAGAAGCTCTTATTGATGCATGTAAGAAATGTTGARATGGAGTTCACTATGCCAACCACATTTTTACACTGATTACTATTTGGAAAATAATATAGAAACTAATAGATTAAAAAGTGTAATGATAAATCATTTTCAGCTCAGTCAAAACATGTGCAACCTCTAAGCCATGAAATATCTTCTAAAGATGAGGATGGACAGGAAAAGGTATAGAACATTGATAGAGGTTGATAATGTTAGAAACATGAAAACTGAGAGGTTTGTTAGTGTTGCCTTTTATACTCTAGATTTGCCCAAGTTAATTCACTCATTTATTCATATATTCATTCATTTATTTTTCCTTCATTTCATCCATTCATTAATCCATTCAGTCATACTTTCATCCATCCARCCATCCATCCATTCATTGCTCAAAACCAAACCCCTCAGCAATAACCAACTATATATAGCTTTTCCAATGGACACAAATGAACTTTTAATACAATGTTGTATTGTGTTCAACTATTATTTTTACTTTCTCCAGGATATTAAAACAGTTCTTGAAGAAGCTGCGTCACAGGCTATTGCAAAAAGTGGTTTAGTTTATGATGAGAATAGTGGACTYTACTTTGACTGGAGCTGTGGACTTTATTATGATCCAGTGAGTCTGTTGTATCCATACAATRCATCAWTCTGTCAACTCATTCATGATCATTTGTGACTTTGCCAGTACTGTTAAACACATATGTTATGATACTTGTCAAAATGGCTTTTGAAAACAATATATTTCTCTCTTTATTTTAGAATTCTTGCCTATATTACAACAACATAACTGGYACATATTACTACTTTAATGAAGAATCAAATAGCTATGAATTTCACTCACAAATAGAACTTCCTGCYGAAAGTACTGATGAACAATATAAAACAAAGAAAAAGAAAAAGAAAGTAACTCCAAAAGCAAAAAAGAAGCGAAAAGTCATTGAGATTAAAAGCTCATCAGGTGAAAATGATAGCAGTTCAGGAGAAATAATAAGCTCAGATGATGAAAGTGATGATACAGACACTGATGATGATGATGACAACAATGTGCATCATACAGTAGCTCCATGTATTAGAGCTATTGTCACAAATTCTGACAAGCTCAAGATTGGAACTCTTTTTYTTGTGACATGCACAGGGGGRASTCTAGGAAGGTAGGTATTGAAAAATGTCATTTTACATGTAATATGCATTACCCTACAGAGGAGATATATTATCAAGGCTAGTTGCAAAGAGAGTCTCAATATTTTACTTTTCTTCACAGTCTCATGAAAAACTTTACAGCTCATCATTAGCTATTATAAATATTTATATGCCACTAAGGTTTTAAATMTTTTATTTTACAGAGAAAAAGATGTTGGACATGCAATAATAATACCTGATGTSGCAGTTAGTAAGGTACATAGAAGCTCTCTTTCTATTGGCTACTGTCTAAGGTTTCATCCAGTCTAATCCAACCTTCTTTTTTAGTATCATTGCAAGTTTGCATATGACCAGGAAAGAAGGCAATACTTCATATGTGATCTGGGAAGTAGAAACGGCACCTTGTTGAATGATAAACAATTTGGACAGGTAATGTGGTATTATTTTTAATGATATTTATGTACTTGTGTGCTTGAAAATGAGGCAATTTTTTTGAAAATGAAACAGTTAATTTCTTGGAAATTAAATAATTGATTTGGAAATGAAGCAATMGGTTTGAAAACAAGAAATAGTTAATCTCTTGGAAATGAAATAATTGGTTTGGAAATGAAGCAGTTGGTTTGGAAATGACATGATTGTTAATCATTACATCAGATTGGTAAGGAAAGTGAGCCCCAAGTGTTGACGCATGGKGATAGTCTTACAGTTGGTGGTACAACATTATCAATACATATCCACCAAGCCACWGAAACATGTGATGAGTGCGAACCAGGTCTTATGCAGACAAAAGCGGAAGTCACTGGTCATTACCAAGGTAACAACAAGATAATTAGATCAAATAAATATTTGTAGGTTGGTCTATTCATTACAATGTAAGCGATGTAACTTTTTTTCATTCAGTCTTGATAATGGCTCGGTGAGCCGAAAGCTCGACGAAAATAAATATCTTTTAGGTTGAAGTAGCGCTTACATCGTAACAAGATAATTATTAATTAATTATGAATAAAACTAATGGAGTGTTTTTGACATTCTATATGAATGATTCAGTGTGTTATGTCATGTTATATATTAGAATCATAATTAAGTTTATTATATTTTCTAATCTTTGACTTCATATTATAAGTTTCATCTCAAGGAAACTCAGAAAACCAAAGAAAAAAGCAATTYAAAAATCTAAAAAAAGCATATGGATTAGAGGTTTGTTATTCCTTTTCCTCTTTTTATGGTGGTTATTCATTCAACCTATTGATAGCATGCGTCATGTTTCTTTTATAGCAAGAAGCCTATACTGAAGGTTCTGATGTACTTGACAAACAGAAATACAGAGATCGTGCTGATTTGAGGTATAGACTTCATCTTTATTAGATTGGAYAAGWCCTCTATCCCCAATTGTTTACTTCACAAACTGTGCTAATGTGGACTTCAACAACACAGAAAGACCAACACTACAAGAGTATCTCACTGARAGGCATAAAACATATTCAATGTCCCATAGAGCAAATGCAGGAAAACCATGACATAAAATAAAACTAAGTACTAACTAATAGTGGCTATTTAGAGACAGTTTGTCAGTATCAATGAACCAGAACACAATGAATATGAATCCATATGGGACCATTTTTCATTCATCTTTAATCGCGTTCAGGTTCATTGGTACTGACAATTTGTCTCCAAGTCTCTCGCCGCTATTTGTTAGTATTTAGTTTGATTTTATTTAATGGTATTCCTGCGTCTGCTCTATCACTATAGTGCACTGAGCTGTGTTCTACTCCTCTAAGTTTCCTCCAAAATTGTTGATGTTTTTTTTAGCACATTTCATTTTTTTATGTACTTTTAACCGTGTTGATAATGTTGTTGTATTCAGACGTGTTAAAGTCGGTAGTGATGTGCCAAATCAACCAGACGCTGCCCCRTCTTCAGTACACAGGTACATAAATGAACAACTTTCATGGTATCCAGATATTATCATACTAAATGATTATTTCTTGTTTGTTTTTTATTTAGACCAATCAGCTRTGATAACAAGGGAAGAAAGATGCTGGAAAAAATGGGATGGAAAGATGGGGAAGGACTTGGCAAGGAAAGTACTGGACTCAAGGAACCGGTGTGTACTCCTTTGCCTTTTTCCGTTTTCTTTTGATTCGCTTTCTTCGTCGTTTTACGTGGGCGTGGCACTGTTTTGCTTTGTTTCGTTTTGTTTTTTTATTAAATATCTTCTTCATTTTATGTTGTTTTTTTTGTTTGTTTGTTTTGTTTTTTGTTTTTTGCATTCTGTTCTTACAGCTGTGTTTGCTTTATTATTTTCGCGTTCGCTCGTTTGATTTTGTTGTTTGCAAAACGTTTTCCTTTACAACTCAAAATATTYTACCGAATTAGTAAATTAACACTGCGCTCAATAGTCTGCACTCGCAGCCCTTTTGAGACTCGYCTGCGATAGMAAACCYTACGCTCAATGTCTTATGTTACTATATGCAGYTATTGGCAACTGTACYCGAACAATCACGTGGTATTGGGTTRGGAGTCAAGAGGTCCATAGACTTGACAAATGCTGCCAACCCGTCGAGTAAGATGTTAACCAAGACTAGAGAACGATACGAGGACATATTTCAAAGTAATACAATGGAATCAAAGCAAAGAAAAACCCTATTTGTACCTCAAGTAAACAAAAAAGACGAAGACAAGAGTGAAATAACGTGATGTTCAGTTCATATCGTCTTTTTTTTTCATTAATAAACTTTCATTTTGATATTAAAAGTATTCGTCTTTTTTAATACTTTAGGCAGGTTAGTTACGGCTAGTCTGCTTCGGTCAGAGAGAAGGCGGTAGTGGCGGTATTGTATTCCGAAAAAAAGGGAATGGAAAGAATAAAAGAACGAGAATAAAAGAACGAAAGGAGGAGATGGTGTCAAGTTAAGTAGTAAAAAATGTCAGGAAAAGAAGGAAAATTGAGGTTTAGTAAACTCTTCACTAAGTGAATGGGGTGTATATCTTAATGGATGAAGGGCTATCCAGTTCCCTAGTGCAGAATCTCATGGCTGTAGGTTTAAGTACGTTCTTAAACGAAAAATATATGAATTTCAACGGGAGCTACTGCGATAAGGTCCCGGAAAAGGTCTTCTAAATGTATATARTTCATAAGTTTTACAAACATATTTGTAGAAACTTTTCGGGTCAAAAAATCAGCAGAGATCATCTAAGAGTGCGCACCTGCACGTGTTGGCGGTAACTTCAAAGGTTTACATTGCGCAATTAATCAATAAAATTCTATAAATAGATATTACGCAATGGCACGTGATTAATTATTTTTCAGGTCGAAGMTAAAAATCTTTTCAAGAACATACTTCTTCATAAGCATTTTTTTGTAAGAGCGGTGGGAATATTGTGGCTTTTTGTCAGTAAGTGTTGACTGGCTGATTGACCGGATGTGATAGAAGGACTGAAACGAACGAAAAACCTAAACACCGCATTTGCGCATGCGTAACTAGTTATATTCAAAAACCGTCAATAAAATGGATGAAGTAGCAGAATTAAGGGTAAGTTTTTAACTAAAATTTATCTTTTTCTGTTGAACATTCATGACCCATCTATTCTTGATACTTACATCTACTTTTTTTTTCTCTTTTCAGCACATGCTAATGAGTTTTCGAGTCTCAGAACTCCAAATTTTACTGGGTTTTGGCGGACGGTCGAAATCTGGTCGAAAACATGAGTTAATGGGGCGAGCGTTACAATTGTTAAAATGTGAAGGAAATTATCAAATACGAGCTAAAATAAAAGAACTTTACCGTCAAAGATACCCAAGYAAACTWGCTTCGTCGCCGCCTCGTATTGTACCTCCAACTTCGTCTCGTTTATCGATAACACCGCAAAGCTTGCCTCCTTTYCGGGGACACGACCTTTCGAACAGTATACCTATACATCCAGACGTACGACTAACATCACTACCATTTTACGAATATATCGATGATTTAGTTCGTCCAACGAGTTTAGGTAAGACCAAAAGTCATATGTTGTACTTTTTATTTGTTGTTATAGCGAAAATTGACTTGACAGTTTACCATTTGTGAATGGAATATTTGTTGTACACAGCGGAAACCGACGAAGAAATAGCAGAGGATGGAAATGCTATCGTAATGTTTTTTCTATTTTTCTATTATTTATATGTATTTTTTCTTGTATTATTTTTCGTTGACAATGMTTTTTTATTTACATGGTTTTGCATATTGTCAGGACAAGACATTATTATGTGTAAAGCTTGAAGCTTAAGTTAGTAGCTTAACTGAAAAATATTTTGCTTAATGGCGGACAAAGCCAAATAAGTTAATAGTAATTACATTACCTTAACTTTGATTAACCGTTGCTTAAATCCCRACCACGTTTTTAATAGGATCATTCTAATTTATCGTATTTGATTTGAAATTATCTTTTATTGTTTTCTGAATGCATTGAGACTTTTTATTAAAATTTTGAAATATGTTAGTCATTTATCAGTATCTGAACATATTAATAAATCATCCTGTAAGTAATATATAAAATATGAGCGGGAGACCTTTATGGGCATTTAAAACTGCGAGCTGTAAGCGAGCAGTTTTATAGCCCATAAAGGTCGGACGCGAATATTTTATATTGCTTATCAAATTCCAACATAAGGTGAAGCATATTACGAAAAAAACTTCAGAATAAAATATCATTTGTTACAGAAAATCGAAGTTTAAGTCGTATGCAAATCAGGATAAATCTCTTGCTTATATAAAGATGCAGTCACGGCAATGATTTTCCATTGTGTTTACCTTATGAATTATTAATGAATTTGATAAGTCAAGTTAATTAAATGAGGGCCATAGCCACTTGTATGCAAGAAACCTTCCTTGCTCATAAAAACATGATGGAACAATGGTGTTAGCCTAGGACTAATTTTTCAAAAATCAGATCATTTTACYCATGTAAAACTTGTAGCAACAACCCATTTTCTCTTCCATTTTCATAAGAAAGCTGTCATCGCAAGAAGCAAACTTGTCAACCTTCAAATAAAAGTCATGCCATTACATCAATATTGTAACTAGATAGGTACAATTATAACCAACATTGCATGCGAACAATAGCAATTAGTACAGCCAATTTTCAGCAAAGAAACTTAAGTTTACCATTACAATTCATTTTAGTGCAGACATAACATCATGTGACCTAGTGCAAATTATCTGATGTTTTGAATTAATATTTTGATTATTTCAGTTCCTAGAGGMATGTCACCATTTCAAGAATCTTATATTGTTTTTCATCTTACACCTCGTCAAGTCAATTTGATCGCTACTTCAAGGTTAGTCAAATAGTCATCATAGACAGAAAACCTTGGCTAATAGAGCATGAAGTGTTCTGGAACTGTCCTTCATTCATATTACTAGTATCTTATTTTGTTTTTGTTATGTCTAGAGATACACGCCCTAATTCTAAAAATGAATTTACAGTCCAAGTTCAGTTAAGGTATGTTTTGGTACTGGTGTGGATAATCAAGGAAGGGATGATGGGGTTGTAATCCTTCCTAAGAAGACAATATATTTGAAATTTCTTCTCCAGTTACTGCTCAATTCATAAACAATTCGATATGAACTGCATGGAATGTGAAATTGCCACTTCTGAACAACCTTGCAATGGCCKTTTCTTTTGAAACAATCCTAGTGCGTATCAACAGTAAAAAAATACATGTTACTAAAATGGAGATATCTGATATCTAAATATAATATCTAATATCTTATCGAGTCCTGTTTTCTATGTAGATTTTGTTTATTTGAAACAAGCTGTGAACAAGAAGACAACTTTCCCTCATCTGTTTGTGTAAAAGTCAATGGAAAAGTCTGCCCTTTACCTGTAAGTAAATCTCTACTCAAAATTGGCCTGTTATTCTAGCCAATCGGTGTCTTCAATTTAGTGACCTACCAGAATTGGTGTTYTATCAACCAATCAGAGTGATTTTTACCTAAGAATTGATTGTTTAAACCAATAATATTGTRTATTATAAATATTTGTTTTATGTATATTATAGGGATTTGTTCCACCAGGAAGTACAGAAACAAAGAGACCCAGTCGACCAATCAATGTTACTGCACTTTGTCGACTTTCTTCTACAGTACCAAATCATGTTCATATAACATGGACACCAAAAAATGGATATGTAAGTTGCAATTTCTTTTTCACCCTATATTTGATTGGACAAARTTATCAAAGAGTACAACTAAAGCTACATTAGCTTTCATTTTATTAGACTTCAATTATGAATTCAGTTAATGATTCTAAAAACATCATTTTTTAATTGTAGCGTCATGTGGCTTTAATTCGTCTTGTAAGACAAGTTACTTCTAGTTGTCTGATACAAAGACTCAAGAATAGAGGTTATCGTAATCCTGACCATTCTCGTGCACTTAGTAAGTATCATGTCTAAATAGCTTTGATTTCTCAGATTAAATGAAAACAGGGATCCCACAAAAAGCGAAAAAAGTGAAAAAGTGAAAGGTTTCCTATTTCATACAAGTGCTTTTTTTAATCTTTAGTAAAAGAAAAGCTTTCCCATGACCCAGAAAGTGAAGTYGCTACAACAAGTCTGAGGGTTACTTTACTTTGCCCTGTAAGTATCCAAAAAAGATGACATGAGTTTACTTAAGGATAAATAGTTATTTACCATTACTTATTATTATTAATGACTTTTAGCTTGGAAAAACAAGAATGACATTGCCATGCAGGTTAGCACAAATTAGCACTGAAAATGATATTTTATTGTTAGTTTATTAATCATACAGGAATGTGCAGCAACAATGGTTTATGGAGCTGAGAATGGATCATTGAATCATTGGCCTCTGGTGAATCAATGTATACTAAATATTATTTATTTTCAGGGCATTGACTTGTAGTCACTTGCAGTGTTTTGATGCAGCTCTGTACTTACAAATGAATGAAAGGTACTATTATTAATATTAATCAAGTAGAGCGCTCGCACTTAAAGCGTGAAACAAATAGTACTAATTACTACTAAATAGTGTTGATTATACAATAGGAAACAAAGGGATTTGTATAATTTATCACCTATTTTGTAGTATTTATATTTCACGCATTTAGTGTGATTACTCTATTGATAAAGTATTAATATCATTATTGATTGATAAATTGTTAATYATAAATTATATGTATCTCCTACAGAAAAACAACTTGGATTTGRCCTGTTTGTGATAAGAAAGCCTTCTTCAAGGACTTGTTCTTGGATGGGTAGGGATATTTCACTCATTTTCCCTCCATTTTCTGAACTTTTTTTGTTGGAATTCTCTTGTCATTGGTTTAAAAATTTATGAATAAGTAATGAGAAAATGAGCAAGGTTTTCATTCGTTTCTTTTGTTAGTTTATTGAGAGAAATACTTGACAGTGCAGACTGCAAAGAAATAGCATTCTATGAAGATGGTTCTTGGAGGCCTATTGATGCTGAAGGACATGGTACGTCAATATATATTAACAGTTATTAATTTAATATTATTATTCCTTCATCAAGCKATGTGAAAAAATATAGTTTGATATTCCAGTTCAAAACCATGATGACTTTTGTTTACTTAACTCAGTTAAGCTARGACTTTAGATAGTRTTTTTGTTTCACGGACAGACAATGAAAGTAAAGCAGCAGTCAAAGCTATCATTGCAGCAAGCACGTCAATTCAACAACCAAAATCAGTTATCAGAAATGGTAAATCAACTAGAATTCAATACTATTTATATATGATAGTGATTGTATGAGGAAGTACCTGATCCCATTAAAGAGTGCTCAATACACATATAGTGTAGAGCTAGTTATATATAATATTATGATAGTGTACAGCCTTTTGCAAAAATTATGAGAATTGTCTAAATATCTAAATATCATAATATCCATATCCATATATTGTCRGGAACACGCGGGTTTGCTAGAATAATTCATTGTTGACATCGAGAAAATGTTCAGAACTACGGATAAGTCTGTCGCCAAAAAAAAKCCTAAACTACAAAGACAAGGGACTAAGGGCATCGCGCGAGATTACCCATCATACACTCGATATTATGATATTTAGATATTTCAACAATTCTCATAATTTTTGCAAAAGACTGTAGAGCTAATTATATATAATATATAATATATCAGAGTCTGTGCAGGTTCTTAAATCCTTGAAAAGTGCTTGAATTGAAAACTCGTTTTCAAGGGCACTTGAAACTCCTTGAAAATTTGAAAATTTCGAAAAAATCCTTGAAAAGTCCTTGAAAAAGATGGATCTCTATAACGAAGTGCTATCGACCTCTGATTTATTCCGTTCGGCTGAAGTTTTGAGGTAAGAATGTACATGATTTTGATGCTCCTTGAAAATACAATTTTGTTCCTTGAAAAAGTCCTTGAAAAGTCCTTAAATTTCGTTTTTGATACTCTGCACGGACCCTGTATATCATAGTGGTTGATGTATTTACTCATTATGTTAATGTTGTCTAGTGTCTACAGACCCACCAGAGTCAACGAAAAAAGAAACAGACGTAATTGACCTTACACTAGAAAGCAGTGATGATGAAGTTGATGATGAAGATGACAATGATGATGATGATGATGATGATGATGATCAAACCTTGGATTCAAGTGATTCTTGCTATAGGTACAAGTATGTGCACAATTCCTTTTTATTATTTATATTAGAATAGGTGATTTTCATATACATTGTACTACCAAGACTAGAATGCTTTGCCCACTTTCTTTATCATGTAATCAATTCCATCAGAATGCCTTTCATATCTTTTTGGCTATTTAGACTGTCTCCTAATCCCTCTGTATATTAGTTAAACAATTCAGACTATTTACATTACAAACTCAAGTMGGCCAATCATTTTGGTCTTGGTAGTATTTGARGCCATTATGCAAATCGCCTATTGTTGCTTAAAAAAATTATAATCATCATCATAATTTGTTATCATCATCATCAGTATTCATTTATTTGTTTCAGTGATCCTATTAGTAGTAGTAAAGTCAGTAGCAGCAGTGGTGGTTACTTTAGGAAAGTCTCATCTAGTTCTGTTATTATGCCTCCTGGATCACCTAGTAGACATCTTAGCTCTCATGGTTCTGCTGGTTCTCCCAGTTCATCTCTATTTAATCATCCTAGTTATTACTCACTTCCTCCTCAGCTGGACTTAGTACCAGGTGAGAATTTTCTTATTGCTTGCTTGAACTCAATCTTATTATTGCTTGCTTGAACTCAATCTTATTATTGCTTGCTTGAACTCAATCTTCTTATTGCTTGCTTGAACTCAATCTTATTATTGCTTGCTTGAACTCAATCTTATTATTGCTTGCTTGAACTCAATTGACCATACCGAAATTCAAAAGGAGACTGGGAACGAGTGTGAAAATATTACATTCATCGAAAACTGAACCTCACCACATGAAAGACCACACTAAAATAAGTGTTCTTGTCAAGTTTGAGCATATTTGGTTAAATACTTACCGAGTAGGAATTTTTCAAATTTGTAAAAATAAGAGAGAATGTATGGTTTTTGGGGAAGCTGCTCAAAACCTCCATACATTCTTTGTAATTTTATTTTTAGTTTTAAATGCTTGAAACTCTGTAATTATTAATCCGAATACTCTCAAACTCAGCAGCTTTACTAATTTTAGTATGGTCTTTCTTGTCCTGGTGTCTGATGCTGTTTGATTGCTTCAAATGGTATCTTTTTAGTGAATAGTCACCAGTGCCTTTTTGAATTTCAAAACGGGCAATAGAACACAGCTTATTGAAAATCATTAACTCAGATTTTCTGGTTTTCACAATTTATATTCTATTTTCCTTTGTTTTTCTAGTTGACTGTGATGTTCTTTTGTGTATGTTTGTTTGTTTGTTTTTGTATCTGCCTTCCATCCATCCCTCTATCCTTTTCCTTCCGTCCATTTGTTATTTTTCTTTTCTTTTCCTCTAACCATCCCTTTTTCTCATTCTTTTATTTCTGTCTGAGCACATATTAAAACGTTTTACTCCTTTCTTTCACTTCTTTGGGTTTAGATATTTACAGATCTCTATTTGGACCAGAGGATGTAAGTATATCAAATGGTATATTCTCATTTCTAATAAATTGTACTCTAGGAAGAATTTTGGCTTTGATCTTCATTAATTTTCTTTGTTTTTCTTTCAGTATGGCCCAGCAAGTATATTTCCAGTTATAAGTGATCTAGACCAACTTGGCTCATCGAATGTTATTCATTTAGACTGACTATTTTGACTGGAATTTCGGATKAAGACTATACCTTGTCCATGAAGYGCAAAACATGAACGTCTGGTGAATGCAATCAACAAGCACTAAACTACTTATACTAGTTATAATTCCATTTTTAACGAACTATAAGGCAAAGGGCAAACAATTTCTAATATTAACTAAAGTATTCAAAGTTATAATATTTATTTAGTGCAGTCAAAGCACAACAGTGGCTTTGGAAATGATAATGTTAATACCATCTGGTGACTGATTTGCCATGCCTAATATTATAGTCATGACGACATTTCTTTGCAAATTCTTATTCTCATGAATGAGACATTATCAATCTTGAGGAATCATCTAACTACTATAGTGAATTATAGGGTGCAAACTATACTCCTAAAATATTTTCYACTAGACAATAGAAAGGAAGCTAAGTTGTAGAACTTGTTAGCTATCTATTTCATATGTATATATGCACTCTATTGAGTTACAATGTAGATCTACAATCATTGATTGTAATAAAATAATTTCTGACTCTGTGAAGACCCAAACTTTAAGGATTTTCTACTCTTTTTTGTAGCTTTTTGAGTTTTAGTTTTACTTTCAGCAGTGTAAATCTGGAATAACTTATGTGGCCTGGTGTGACTTGGGCTAAACTATTTTATGACTTGACTTCTTTTTCAACTTTTAAATGGAGAAATGATAATATAGTATTTTAAGTGACAAGAATTATATTAATATAATATAGCTCACAAGATGTAAATATATAATTTGTATGTTTTTGTGTAAAACATGTTTCTTATATCTAGATGTTTGAATCAGAATTGAAATAAATTATTGTGAACTGGTTTTTGTGTTGAATTCAAAGTGGGGTTGTAACTTTCTGAGCAGAAGAAAGGGAGGGCCTGCATTCAACCTCTASGGGTTTGCCTATATAGATGAACAATTTATTTGAATCGAATGCATTATGCTTTGATAATTGACCGTGGAAACTGGTGTTCAACAGTCGAACAGTCTTAGCCTCAGGCTAGAACAGTCTGGACAACAGTCGACCAAAAAAGTGGACCGTTCCTGTATGTATGGGAATCCTGTGTTGAACTTTCCCCAATCCCTTGGACCTCAGTGGTACGGTGTGGTTCGAGCGCGGAGTCTGTAGTAGGATTATTTGACTGTGGAGTATGCTTTCATTTTAAGCATATTAAAGAATTTCAAGAAAWAATATCAATTATAAACGAGACTATTTGTAGGTAAGCCATTTAGTACAACCTACAGTTTACTTGATCAAAGAGAAAATCAAAAAAACGTACGCGACTCACYTGGGAAAGCTTGTCTGATAGTTACATMCCCGGGTTTCATTCTTGGAATTCCCTGGAAATATTCTTACGTATATAAGCTTATGTATAGTTAAAGAGAGTTGTGTAAGATCCGGTAATATTTGCATTAAAAGAGATCTCTATATATCCKATTTTATACTTTACAAATGACATCCTTAATAGGGCCTCCAAAATCAACTATCAAAGAAATGTCTGCTTCAGTTGATGAGCATTGTTCATTGGGTAATGGCAAAGTATTTCAGGATTACCATTGTTTACTAAAKKTGGTCGAAGGAAAATCTGACAAATTTTATGTGATGCAGCTTTTAACAAACAGCAAAGACTATTTTGTGTGGACAAGATGGGGTAGAAATGTGAGTAAATAGATTTAGAAACTGTTAMTTTAGTTTCATTTGAATTTCAGTTAAGGGGGGCAGACTGCTAGCCTCCTTAATTTTTAGCAGCTGCCCTTCTTAGTCYTCATACAATGCAAGATTTCTCCATCTTGAAATTCTTAATTTCAGGGTACAGTGGGCCAAAATAAACTAGAAGGCCCCTCTAGCCAGGCAGATGCAGAGAAAACCTTCAAGAAAAAGTTTCAGGATAAGACTAAGAACAAATGGTCAGATAAAGACAGTTTTGTACCAGTGAAAGGAAAATACTCATTAGTAAAAGAAGAAAAGAGTAATTCATCAACAGCCAAGAATGTGAGTATCACAGGGGGGGATCCAGCTGATCCCTTCCTGAGATCTGTATCCTTCAATACTTTCCTTATTTTGTATCTTCATGTTAGTGATTTTTGTTGGGTACACCCCGTCCTGGGAGTCCTGCCCCCTCCCTGAGGAGAATCCTGGATCCGCCCCTGTATCACTAGTTTTGGAATTTACTTTACCACCAGGGACGTCGGAGATGGGGGGGCTAGGGAGGCTATATCCCCCCAACTTTTTCATTCCAAAAATTTAAAAATTAAGAAATCAACATTAAGTATACTCCTATTGAATAGTTTTTTTCTGTTTTTTTTTTAATTTTATTTTAATGATAAAATACTTAGATCGCTTTTTTATGCTCGTAGCCCCTCTGCTAAAAAAATGCTCCGACGTCCCTGACCACCCTTTCTCTTTATATGGCATGAAAGCTTATTGTAAAAATTATTGTTTCGATCCTCTTTCTATCTCTGTCCTGGTTTTATTCACAGACCCAGCAAAAGGATCATGCTAACATTTTGTCAAGCTTTGAAGCTGAGGTAAAGAGTAGATATATTTAAGTTTACTTATGAACATACAAATCGTCAGATCATTAATATAATAATAACTGATTGTACTCTGGTTGTTACTGGAGAGAACGGAGTCCCAGGGCCTAAAAGAGGTTCTTGTGAAAAGGCTAAAATGTTCGACTGTTGTCAACTCCAAGAACTCATGAATTTGGTTTRCTGTGTCATCAACTTAGCATTGTGTGATGATGGCACAAGGAGAAGCAGTGAAATAAACGCTATCTTCACTCATGAAGCCCACTGTAACTTTATTTGTCTTTCAGAAACCTGTTTTTCCAGATACAGTTGTGTCAGGTGTTTGTTTRCATGGAGATTTGCTTTACCAGATAATGCTACATCTTTCCACKAAAGAAGTGCTCAAATGTATGCTAGTATGCAAATTCTGGAAGGTATGATAAAAATAACAGTTCACAGGTATCCCAGGCTCAATAACTAAGTATAAAGTATGTCTTACACACATTTTTTTCCTTAATAATATTATCATAACATGAATAAAATGTCTCTGACCAGGAAGGTAAGAGATGTTCTATATATGTTATAATTATAATATTCTTTAAGGGAAAAAATATTGTGTGTATGACATACTTTATACTTACTTATTGAGCCTGAGTTACCTGTGGCTACAATAGGCAACCAAAGAAAAGGACTTTTAAATTACCAGTGGGAAAGTATTCTGGTAGTTGTACTGTTGATGCTTAGCTATCATTCATATATGAAGTGTCTTAATAATTTGACTGCCTTATGTTTTGCAGGAGGTATTATCTGAAAAGTATTTCTGGAAAATATTTATATGTCATCGCTTTGATTTGTCGCTGAAGACCGACATCACTGGCGAGGCACCATATTGCCAGTGGTGCAATCCTGARGACTGGTAWGTAGACATAACTTTATAAAAATGAATGAAAGATTGAATATATAAAAAAATGAACAAGTTTAACATACTAATCCAATGTTAACAAGTATTTCTTTGATTTAAAGGTATCCATATTTCGATAATGAAGATGACCCATTTGTCATGCGACCCATGCCTTTGATGTGGAAGTGCCGTGTGATCCATCCGTCTGGTCTGGATCCATTATCTGGAGATGTAAAAAGCTTACAGGGTTTTAGTCGTTCYTTGGAGACACTTACARGCATGAAGAAAGGCGTAGATACTCTTTGGCTTGCAAGTGGTAATATTCCTGAATAGGCCATGATTACAATTATTAACTTTAATAATTAATCATTCTTTTTAGTCCATCCTTCGGATCAATTCGTTTATTTTATTACTATTATTTTATTCAGAATATTYGCATTTTGTATTATTTTGTACTGTGACCTTCTTTTATAAATAGATATATTTTATGCAATGTCAAAAACACCTGTCTATGCTGGTTGATGCAACTGTTTCATGAGAACGTTTCATYAGGTTGCTGGTAGAATTATAATCAGTAGATTTTATTGTCTAAATTTATCTGCAGTTTTTCTTAGAATGGCAAGCCCTTTCCAATCAAAGGGTATAATAATATGGTAAATTGGTAAATTATGCAATTTTTTTCTTTATAGGATCTCAGTGCAGTGGAAGTGAAGGAGAAGATGGCATCTGTGTAGTTTTATTTCCTTGGKAAGAAGAACACCTTCCAATGGCACAGCAACTCGTAGATCAAGTCTTTCACTTCCACCCTGAGGTAGTTGAAGATTGTTTTGTTGAACAAAGAAGTGAAAAGCTCATTTATCATCTTCCAAAAGAAACTGATGGTGATGGAGATGAAGATGATGATGATGATGATGAACATGATGGAGATGAAAATCCTTGCTTAAATCGGATCTTTGGTTTTGGTTATTCTTATGATAAAAGTAAAGGAATAACTCCCAAGAAAGCAAAAGAGTTTTATAGCTGGTTGCAGAATATTATGGTCCCCACCATAACTGTTTATGCWGGGTCTGACAAGTTCAACCCAGTAGCTGTATTTTTTTTAACAAAACTTGCCCCTGGGTGGGTGGGTGGTGCATTGACAGGAGTAATATATACATGATTAATCATCAATCAATATTATTCATTGATTGATTGTGAGTGAGTGATCTATAAATAGATTATTAATTATATTTCTATAATAATGTTATAGTATTCAAAACGTAGAAGAAAATCATAATTGTTGGTAACTTAGAAAAAAGAACGACATATATAGATATGCTCAATTCATTTAATATTTAGACAAACATCGATCTAATCGTACAGCAGTGTTTCATGGACGTGAATAAAACACTTTAATCGTCACAATTGTTTCTTATTTTCCAAGTCTAAATTACAATAAATGAAATAATTAATATTAGTAGTCTACAAATCTGCAATTAACCGTTCTTCCGGGGCACTTGTTTGGATTCCAGTGTCCATGACAACGAGCTCTGCCAAGCCCTCATGTTCATCTGTCGCGGCAACCAGGTGACATCTCACCGGAGATTCGATACCAGACTCCAGATTAGACTCTAAAGAATAAGTTTCATAAATGTATGCAGGGAGGTACGATGGGGAACATTGTTCTTGGCTGTTGTTTCCTTGAAGATTCTCAATGATTAATGCATCTTGTTGGCTTGATGMTTCTTGTTCTAAATGAGTTAAATAGAGACAGTTAACGAAGCCATTAACATGGACCATGGTGCAACGTTAAGAGGTGTCCACAAACTCGCCCGACCACGTGTAGACGCAGTTTGAACGTCMGAAGATGTGATTTATAAATTTTCATTTTATTTTTGAGCATAAAGAAAGCTTTCCAGGCGATAAAACACATCGCGCAAACTAAACTGATTGTGACCGAAGCCACGCCCGAAGAGATTTTAATCTCTTAAAACATATTAGACCACACATTATCCATCTCCATCTACTTACCGAATTCCGTGGTCTGCGTGTGCTCATTTCCATCAGTACACTCCACGCCATGTGTTGTTAAAGTCARAACCTCAGCGTCTTCCACCTGTGTGAGGTTGTCATCTTGTAGTGCGGTTGTTTCTGAGTTGATGATGGTTTGTACCGCTGCTACTGTCTCTGGGTTGCTACCTGATGGCAATTCAACTTTGCCGTAATCTTTGCCTGCAATTAAAAGAGAGAAAAACTATTCTMTACGTCTTCTTTTTCACTAGGACAATAGAGCGGATTTCGTATGAGTGGGACACCGTTACCGCACAGTTACCGCACCTGGCCTGCACAATTTTGGCGAACCAATGGGGCACTATAATTTGGTTACAGTACGATTACGGTCACAGTACAGTACCGTCCGTTTCCCACTCATACGAAATCCGCTCTATTCTTTTAGTTGGACGTTGTCACGTTTTGGTTGGTTATTCATTTGGGCTGGTTGATCGGTTGCTGGTCGGTTGGTTGGTTGGGTTGTTGGTTAGTAGGTTGGGTTGTTGGTTAGTAGGTTGGGTTGTTGGTTAGTAGGTTGGGTTGTTGGTCAGTAGGTTTTCTGTCACTATTTACCATCCGTGTTCTGCGCAGCTCTGTTTGAGTTGAACTGCATTTTCTCTTCCATCAGCCGTTTTTCTTTTGCGCGTCTATTTTGAAACCAAACTTGAACTCGATCTTCTGGTAATCCGCTTTTGATTGCAATTGACTGACGCAGCTTGCTGTCTGGATAGTGTTGTTGCTGGAATCCTGATTCCAATATTGCRAACTGATCTTGTGTGAAAACAGTTCTGCACCGGCGTCGTTTGTCCTTTGGCCTATATTCGCTCGCTATAAAAAGTTAAAAAGTTTTGAGATACTTGAGAAACTTGTAATGAAGATGTAGGAAAAGAAACAAGTGTGAATAAAAGATTGCAACTAAGTGAACAAAGAGGAAATTCTAAAACTTATTTCAATTGAATTAGATAGTCTTAATTAAATTCAGGAACTCAAATCAATCGTAATTRAATTTTCACAATTATGTACGTATGCACAGTGTAATGTAACCAGAAATTAAATAATGAATGATTAAACTGATCTAATTCGTCTAAAGTAATTGATTTGCGGTATACGTTTTGCGCAATTTGATTTACCATCGCTTCCTGGAAAATTTCCATACATCCCACAAGCACCAAAAGCTGCTGGCGGCAATGCAGTGTTGGGCATATAGTATTGGTAATAGTACCGTGGAGGATATAACGACATTTGCGATAAATTATCGCCTGAAATAGCTGGAAAAGTTGAGGAAAGCTGCTGTGTCGATTGCATGGAACTTGATTTGTTTTCAGGTTGCCTAGAATCCGCTGTTTCTCCAAAACATGTTCTTTCTTGTGAAAGTGTTTTTTCACCACCTAAAGAAACAGTTTTAGGTGTGTTTTCGTTCTCCATGTCTTTTTGTTTCTAGCGTATTGAAAGCTATAACGTTTGCTTTTGAAGTGAGAGTGAAAATTATAAAATCRCTTCTATTCTGACGTCAAGAATTGCTTTTATGACGTACTTGGATGACGTCATTGAAAATCTGCGGTGCGCAGTCACTCAGAAGGCGCGCGTAAAAATCACAGGCACCCCAAGCTAAGCATTTAACTAGCAGATTATAGCAATATCTATAATGCATGTAAATACGAATTTTTTTAAAGAAGAAATAAGTAAAAAACATTTGTCTTACCTTATGATGTGGTCTTAGTTATGAATTTAGGCGTAATTTGCCGTTTTTCTTTGATATCTCCCCTCCTTTACTTATATCACTAGGCATTAGAAGTACGCGCATGTGCAGATCGCATAGAGTTTCGAGTTGTATGCTTACAAAACCGAATCAATATCCTTTCTAGTGTTAGACAGTCTTGTGGGGGCAAAGATTTCAAATTAGAACAAGAAGAAACTTTGTTGATCAATAACAAAAAGGCGACTTTGATTATCAGTTTATAGGCATCTTTTTAAAAGTATTTATTTTCATGGCCTGAGAGGTCAACAATCTCTAAGTATTAATTACATGACCTTTTAGGTCAAAGTTTAGATTTCTATCTTTTTGAAGTCGTTGCAGAGAGCAGTCGAAAAGAATATCGTATCGTGTGAATAAACGGTCACGCATTCTTGCTTTCACTATGTATTAGAAGTAAAAAATATAATATTCTACGTTCAAAAATAGCTAGTCCGACTTCACGCTCCAAGAGCGTCTAGTTACAAAGGGATCCCAAATCCCGAGTCTTCGACATTTTGGATCAACATCATATTTTTTTTCATTTTATAAGATAAACAAGAATCTGTGAAATTCACAATTACGAGAAAACAGGAAAGACTCGGAAGTCTGAAGGAATTATTGTCCTGCATAGACCCTAGTAACAATTCGATGTAAATAAGGTCAATTCCTTGAAAATTAGTTAATTGAAAMTATTTTATAACGATAGGTCTTGACGAAAAACAAATTCAAGTGTTCGTGAAAAAAAAGCTTATGAAATACTACAATGTGGTGTTTATATATTTTACTTTTCAAAGTTTTATCAAGTGTACCTTCGATAGCTCAGTTGGCAGAGCGGGGGACTGTAGACTTGATGTAGTAATCCCTAGGTCGCTGGTTCAAATCCGGCTCGAAGGACTTRTTTTTCCATTTATTTTTTTACCATGTTTTTTATCATGTTATCAATGTAAAGCATTTCTTTTGTACCCAAAAATACTGGTCTATAAATTCAAACCATTTTGAGACTGAATAAATGGCATTTCCCTCTCCAGTTTTTTTTAATTTTTATTTCATCGATATTCTTTTATTCAAAATTGTTCTTTAAGTAATTTATTCATTTGCATTCGTTTTTCTATTAATTCCTTTTTTCATTTGCTATCATTTTCTACCACTTTCATATTTTCTTTGACTTTCGCTTATCAACCTCCCTCCCCAAATGAAGGGTTGTGGGCCTGGGGCGAGTTTCTTTTCTTTAGAGTCTGCGATAAAAAGTTTCCAAAGAACTATATCGTGAYCTTTTTGTCTGTGTAGAGTCAAATATAAACCATATTTACCAAAATCACACTGTTGTCTTTGTCCTGTACGTCATTTCCTGGCCATAGATATGCATGACAAATTAATTTCAAAATAATTTTCAATGCAASCATTTAAGGCCTGTTTACACTTGCGATTTTTGCAGCGCGATTCTCGTGGCGATCGTCGCGCGACAATCGCCTGAGTTTCGAACATGCTTGAAAATTGGCTGGAACTTCGCGGCGATTTTCCATCGCCGCAACAATGGCAGGGCTGTTTACACGTACGATTTAAGTTGCATGCGCGACATCAAAGTGGCGATTATCGCGCTGCAAAAAATCGCAAGTGTAAACGGGCCTTTAGAAAAGATATCCAGCACTATTAATGTTTAGCACATTTAGCTCTGCTTCCTTTGATCGTCGCATTTTGCACGTGCAAATAGTTGAGTAACCTTTTACTTTTGTAGAATTTTTAAGTTTTGCTTGAGTGGCTTAATAACAGCTTGAAAGCGCATGAATACATTAAAACAGCCGAGAAAAAAGAAAGATCAATTCATGAATTTGATAGACTTGTGCATTCTATTGTTAATCCTTTGTTTGTGACGAGATTTTGATTTAATTAGGCATTATTATGGAGTTTGACCATGCGAAGTTATTTGATGTCTTGGCGTCGATGGAGTTATTAATTAGCTCTTGTTAGCTTTAGAAAAGTTCTTATTTGTTTYGTTTCGGGTTTGTTGACTATCTTCTTAGATGCTGAATGCCACTTTCGAGACTGAATCAACGATAAGCCCACAGAAAAGCATGTGAAGGTAAAACATTCTAATGAAATCCAGCAACAGGACACTAAACTTTTCAAGTGTTGCATACGTTTTTCGCTTGTATATTTAAGAAAGAAAGTTCTCAATCATTATTAAGAAGACTACCCCATCTTATTCTATTAAATTCTTTTTCTTTCTAGATCAGAATGTCGTTGAGAATTGCGAAAAGAAGAGAAATTCTGTTGTCTCGCCTTCTGTTGCCAAGGAACAGGTGAGCAAGTATTGGCATTGCATTGGTTTCTCTGCATGTTTCGAGCATTGTGTTGGCTTTTTTTCAGCTGTTTTACTTCCATAGCACTTTTCACCCTTTTTAACTCATTTCTTGAAAAACTGTTTGATGCGAGACGGCAAACGAAACAKATGCTTTTTTTGCTTTGAAAAATTTCGAAAATAAGCAATACTCGATTATTTACTTGTTTATTATTTACTTATTTTACTTCAAAATTTATCATTGAGCTCTGAAAATATGATTCACTTTTTGAATTTATTCAACTTATAAAGTCATTGGGGCGATAAATTCCTAAAGACCTTCTTTCTTACATGTAAATTTTAGCTCAGCACTCAAAACAAGAATTCCATGAAATATAATGGCGACTCACAATAAAAAGTTCACCATTTGATAGCAAAAAGAGGTGTTGATACTCTAACAAAAAGTTCCTTTTTAAAGTGTGGAAATATATTTTGTGAAACTTTCTTTCTTTTCAGCAGTGACATCAAATTATGTGCATCGCAGTCGTCAACATGAATCTCAAACATTTTGAAGAGCTGTTTAAAAACTCTTTRTATATATCTCCCAGTCCGCGATACAATTTGTCCATTTTCTTTGCTTTTCGCACTATGAGCGAACAAATACAATTTAGTACTCAAAAATTTTAGCGACTGTGTAGAAGTTGGCCGCGATTGACTTTAACCGCATTTAATTATAGACAAAACAATTTAAGAAAGGCGGATAATAACTGCTAATAGATGAATGATCATCTGACCACTTTTAAGACTAAAATTATTACTTTTTTGGATTTAATACGACCCGTTCAGTGGCGACCGAAAGTCAGACTCCGCAAAAGTGKGCATTCTARTACGCATGCACAGATAAGCACTTTTGAACAAACTTAATCCCGAGTGTTAGTTTTGTTATAGTCTAATATAGCTTTTTTCTCATGTTGTTAGGAAGGCACTTTGAAGAAAAGATCAATTGAAAATAGATGATGCGAAAATTTTCGTTTAATTGTTTTCAGTAACTGATTCGTCAGTTTACAAGAAAAGCTTCGATTGTTGATCGATCGATTGATGTTCGGTTGTAGKTGTTTTATGTACTGCAGATTAAAGATGATGGATTGTATTTTCATAAATATTGATATTTTAATTTAATTTATGCATGAAACACTAGTTTTTCGAAGAGAACATTTCTTTGATGGAAAGAATTTTTTGTCAGGCATTGTGACTGATTTTGTGACCCCATCAGGGTCAAAAATTATGASTACAAACTGCGAATTTTGAATGTTTAAATCGCACAATTTTACCAAATGCTCTTTGTAAATMTTTCTAGTCCGATAAATATKTTCCGCGAGTACGACATCCGTGAGTGCCCCCCATCAATTCTTTCTTATTCCTTCGCCTTACACAAGTTATAGTGTAATAAATATAGCAATTTGAACTACATTGTGCATGCGGTTAAATTAAGTTTCAAGACAAAGAAAATTGTATGACATTTTTTAATCTTTTTTCTTTTTCTTTTTTTCTTTTTGCCTGGTCTGTGTTTTCGTATCCGGTCCCAACAACTTCACAAAATATTCACATTGATTACATTCACATCATCGATGACGAGTGCCATGTTGTTACGTCATAGATCGCTGAGCGCATTCGGAGTTAAAGTTTTTGTGTACACTTATTCCGTGGTTTTTGAGTCGGACGAATTCCTGGCATAGAGTTACCAGATTAGGTCAGATCTTTAGAATTTGGTATCAAATTATCTTTTGAAAGTAGGTCGACTTTGGTTGGTTTTTCCCGTCGTTCAAATGACTGCTCTTATTTTTTCCGAAGCAATCAAACAATAAACAATGCTTTTGCAAAAATACAGCTGTACATAATGTAAATAGGTCACATGTGTAGAGACTTGGCCGGGATTGGCTAGGCCATGAAGGCTCTCTCTTGACATCACCGAAGGTTCGCCGTTCCCATGAAAACAGTCCATTCGATTTTATACTTACTATCGAGGTATTACATTTAATTCTGCCGACCAAGACTATACCCATCCAAATATCAACTCTTTTAGGGTTGAAGAAACTGTTCTCCATCTATCATGGCCAAACAGTGGATTTCAGGGTGATTTTGAACCGCTTACAAGCGACCAATGTGTGGAGCGAAGAATACTGTGTATTTGTAGATGTGCTTTTAGACCCGTCGACCGACGTTCAACGCTTGCAGGGACGTTTTCATTTTGGTTTGTGTGGTCTTGGAAGTGTTTCACCATCTAAAAGTACTGCTTTTATTTCGCGTGAATGAGCACATTTCTGAGCCCTAATGGGCTGTGCTCCTAGCATTCATTTCTCTCAACAAGGAATAGTGTTTCGTGATAGCTCGAGCCCTACTGCCCCCAGACCAATAGTGTCTTCACCTAGCGAAATTGTCGGCCATATTCGTTCTAGTTCAGACTCTGGTTCCCATATATCCACGTCTTCGTCTTCTCGCTACCGTGGCACTGGAAAATACAAACGAAGCTACTATTCTGGTAGAGGTAGCTCAATTGAAGCAGAGACACAAACTCAGGATCTCAGTAATATGTCGGAAAATCTTAAGGTAGAAAAAAAGGCAACTCAATTTTGTCTGCTTAAAATTACAGTGTAGCTTTAGATGTAGTATACATTCAGTTTCATGTCTGACTATTTCAAATGCACGTTATTTTTCTCTTTGCATTCAACATTTTGTGTTTCTTTTCTATTTTTCAGAGCGACAAAAGACCTGGAATCATGTTGGGCCCGATGAAATTGTTCCAACCAGTGATGCAGGTAGCTATAGCTTATTAGCTAGATGCAAGTTCAAATAAAAACTTAGCTTACTTTCTTTACCCATATTTCTTGTTTTTCTCTCGCCAATACGTACACATATGTCTTTTTATTCGAAAACATTCGCTTAGGTTTTTAAAATAGGAAAGAACTACGCCGAAGTGTAAGATTTCTGTGACAAAATCCATAATATTTGATGTTGTCGTTTTGATGCTCGTTCGACTTCTGCCGTACTATTAAAATACTGTTGGGAGCAAACTTTGGCGACCGACGTCTTTTTTAGCATAATTTTTGTGGAATTTAAACAATATTATTTTTTCGATTTCCGATTTTACATCTATGATTATAAGTCTTAATTTAAATTTTTTTCTTGGGCTACTGGCAGAAATCCTCATTTGAGTRGTTTTTTGGCTTTGCTTGAAAATTCGTTTTGAAATTCACTATTATAATTTTCTGGCTATATTTACCAAAAGTGTTTTTGGCTGAAAAAAAGGCATTTGAACTGTGAAATTTTAAATGATATATATTTTTTAGCTTCTACCACATCTCCGCCATATTCCCCAAATGCAATATTCGGAATTCTTTATTACTCTAGGCTGAATTTCCGAAAACGATGTTTTGAAGCAAATTCTTTTCCTTACGAAATTCCATTTCGAAGTCATTTTATTGGGTTATTATTTGAGAATGTATTTTTCGGACCAAAAACAGCTTGTTTTCAACAGATATTTTCATCCGGCTTCGACCAAATCTACAGTAGCTTGTTGTTCCTTTCCCCTTCAATTCTCTCTGTCTCTGTTGTGCTTGCTTTTCTCTTGTATTTGCCTGGACATAACTCGAGCCAAAATGAAGCTCACTCACGTTTAATAAATCTTTACTTACAATGAATTCCCTAAAAAATAGTGGAACACTTTCTGCGTGATTACTTTGATGGAACATCGAGCGACTGTCCGTAGATTTGAGTAAACACAAATTATTGCAATATGAAAATCTAGTTTTTTGGAAGGGATTCCTCTCTTGGGAAATCGAACAACATTGCAATTTCGAAGTCTATAAGCRTACGTTGCTTTCATGCCAGCCATATTTTTCGAGTGCTTTTTTCTGACAATATTACTTCGTTCGTTAATATTCTTTAGGCCGGTATTATTTCAGGTCCTTCGAAAATCTCCCTATCTTTTGCGACAGAAATTCGATTTCTCATATTCAAATCGATTTATTGCGCTCATAGAATTAAATTGTTCAAGTCATATAACTGGTTTGTTTATAAAAAAACTTGTTGTTGTTGTTGATATTATTATTTTGGTAATTCGTATCCATTTACAATGGTTTACAGTTTTCGCATCGATGAAGGGGCGGGCGTTCTTAATGTCACGCTCAAAAACTTGGAAATTATAATTTTGATCCTAATTTTTGCTTTAAGCTTATATATTGAGAGATTTCCATTGCATTTCTGAATTTTTTTCCATTTGAAATAATATTGCATTCTTTTTCTGCTCATATTTATTGAAGTTTTTCCCTAACATAGCATAAAATAGCTAAATATAATGCGTTTTGCTTCTAAATTATAATCATAGACATTAGCATTTTAAGGAAAACTGTTGTATTTTTCCGTGTAGTTTGATTTATTTTCAAAGTTTGTTCAAATAGTATTATATATAATATTTCTCTGTCATTTCCCTTTAACCACTTCTCTTTTCATTGAAAACTTACATTTTAACCATTATGTGCCAATCCATGATATTTGTTTTAACCTGTCCTTGGCATTGTGAASGTTGCTTTAACCATTCCAGAGATTTCATAATCATGTAGACATTGTGAAAATCTTTTATCATGTTGAGTTTTTCCTACTTGCAAGAAGCAATGCTTTAACAGCAATATTCTCATGGTTTGTGTTATCTTGATCAAAAGTTGTTTGTAGTACAATCAGTTAGCTTTGCATATTCATTTGCCCTTTTAGCATTAAATTCACAAATGAGCATTTTTCTTCAATTTTCATTTTTTCTATGGGCCAACAGATTTTAGAGAAATACCATAAATTTGTGTATGCATATTACAAATGAAATGAGCATTTTATAATGTTTTCTTTCATTTTCCATGAAGTTTTGATGGTTGCATTATATTTTTAAGCTTATGAAACTACTAAGTCTTTCAGTACTGCATGAATTTGTCAATGATATGCCATCTCTCTAATGTTGTCACACCAGTTTATCAGCAGACATATCCCTCCTCCTAATTCTTGTTTATTTTATACTATAATGATAGTGTTTTATTCTCTTCAAGGTGATGCTTGTATTTGCAAAGGAAGATGCTCAAACAGAAAGTTTTGTTCAGGCATCTGAAAGAGCAAGCTACAAGTACAGCATATGTAAAACATCCGAGGCTGCAATGGAGGTGTTTCTGAATAACCAACCAGAAGTGAGTACATAGAAAGAACAACAATGTTGGATAAAAATGGTTTCCCCAATAGGCTGTATTCTTTTCCAAAAACAGTTACAAAAACAGCAGTTTATTGTAATTGTTTTGTCAATAGACCTAATCGGCCAGCGGTGTTGCTGTGTACGTTGCCACCCAATTCAAATCCTGTGGGAAAAAGAACTTTGTTTCTAAGAATTCAACTGTGAAATGAAAATACAATGAACAATTAAACTTACTCCCGGGTGGTTTGAATTGGGTTGAAGCCGATAAGGTCTATTGGATGGCATATTGGTTGACATGTTAAGATTTTAGCACGCTGGCTTTCCATTGGTAGTTATTATTATGATGGTTCCTATTTATATTATTAATCATTTCTTGTAGGTAATTTTCATTGATATGAGAGATTCATCGACAATAGATGGTGAAAAATTATGCAAGTAAGATTGCTATTGTTAATTGCAAACTCTAATTGTTGGTTGCRATTTGCTTGTTTTTTTTTCAATTGTCAATGATCATCAAAGCATTGATCATTTTTAGTTTCTTAAGTAGTAATTATATTTAGTTAAACACCTGAAGAAGAGTTCACAATAAAGTCATGGACAATGGGGTACTGATATATTATCACTCAATGACTAAATTTTTGATCTACTGCTGTTTGTACTTACAGGAACATAAGAGCCACACAACCAAGTGATAATTCAACTATAGTAGCTGTAGTGAAACCATGGTATTTATCAATCTTGATTTTAGATTAAATATATTAAGGCTTTTCAAGAGGTTTTTGGCAATTAGTGACAAATAAGCACTGTCATATTGCACTGCAAAAAGACAAAAAACTTAAGTGGGAAACAATGATGATAAAGTTGAAGTTATTTTGTCTTCAATTTCTCCGTAGTTGTGAAAAAGGTTTAATAAATCTATTATTTTTTTCTTAGTGCAAGACATACTGACGAACCKTCATTTCTACCACTGCTCAAGACTGGCTTTGATAGGGTAACATTTGTTTTGATAGGATGACATTTGTTTTATTTGTGAATAGACTCTCTTGATGTTAAAAATATATATATTTCTTGATTTTGTCAGAGATTTGTGGAAAATACTAATGTTGGTGCCTGCTTCAATGAGCTGAAGATGCTAGAATATGGTGAAGTTCGATCTCAGTTTAAGTTAAGGTAAAGTTTATGTGAGGAATAYGAGTTATTAAAATTGTTAACTATGRAACTAATAAATYTGAATATGATTTGAAAATGATGTAAAAGATATCCGATTCAAATATAATCTGGATGCATGTGGGCTGAAATTAACTATATTTATTGTTACCAGCTTAATGAATTGTTAAAATAGTTTTATAAAGAAAAGTTGGTATATTTTCAGGGCTACGACATGTCTTATAAATGCTATAGAACATACTAATGACGCAGTCGAAATCACAAGGTTAGATCCAGACAAATCTGATACCCAGGTCCACGTGGAGGTGAGTATGAACTCMGTTTCTTAGCCACAGGTATCCTGAACTTAGTGCACTTTCAAAAATGGCCGTCGGTCACAGTGGAGGGATAATAATAATACTTATTATGAAGGATTGAAGGCCTGATATCATGGCATATCAAGCGAAGTGTCATTTTCTGTAAAAGTATTCAACTCAAGTCCCTTGAACATGAAAGTTTGCTATTTTTGGCAGTTATGTATACCAGGATATATTGTATATTTTATCTTTATTGTATTTTAAAATTTATATATATAATTTATCAAATTTTTGTAAACAGCACKATTGAATATTTATTTATTTATTGGTTTATTGATCGACTGTTATAAACATTTTCTTAGCCAATGAAGACATTATTTAAATTCCTTATTTTTGACAGTATGTGAACCCAGCATTTGAAAAGATGACTGGATACTTTCGTCCAGAGGTGATAGGACACACACAAAATTTGATGTATACAAGCGAAGGGAGGGTGAGTCATCATGTGTATTAATATAACACACCCATTTTACAGTCTATCATCATATATCTCTTCACGCCAGTAGGCATATAAGGACGTCACCCCCTCTTTCCAGTCATCTCTATCTCTTGCTGGCATTTCATGGCTTCATTCCAAGTCTTCCATCCTACGTTGTCCCTTTCTTTCAGTACCGTTCTTCTCCAAGTAGTCTTTGGTCTTCCCCTTGCTSTTCTTRCTTCCGGTGTCTATTCTAGAGCTATCAAACAGTCATTTTAACTTTCCCCTTTTAGGATATGATTATCCAGTTCCATCTTTTACGTTTAATTTCATTGCTGAGCTTTTCACAGTCTGCACCACTAGATTCCTCACTCCCTTGATCCAATTGCATTCATGAATGTACTGTTCTTTTTTTTTAGGAATACGATGCAATTTACGCAGAACTCAAAAAGGGCAAGGTAAGCTAAAGTTTAGTTTTCTTTGATGCTCTTTCTCAATTGTCTGCAAAATGTTTCTTGAAGTGAGTACACCAAATAAGATGACAATTTAATTTATTATTTTTCTTTTACACAATTTTCATGTGGTTTTACTGGGCTTTTATTTTGGCGAAAAAATAATAAAAAGGTTTTTAGTAATGCAAGTCAAACAAGAGCACAGAGGATATTAATGCAGGATTGGTATTGTCCTTGCCATTAATTAATTATAGTGCAACATACCTCACCTGGGGCCTCTTGAATCCAACRTAGCAATCATGTAACTAAAATAGACTATCATTACTTAAAACAAGGCTGTTTGCCAAAGTACACTTTGTTAAAAAAGACCCAGGGATGGAGGTCGAAAGGTTTAACTGATAACTTTCAAAACTTTACTCATGAATATTTACAGTTAATTTAACAAAAGAATTTTATACTATAAATATCAAATAAGAGTTTGTTTATTTTCTTTCTTCCAGACATGGGAAGGAAAGTGTATGGGAAAGAGAAGAAATGGGGAGAAATACTTACAAAATGTTCATATTGTACCTATCATAGGGAGGGGAGGGTAAGTAGATGTTTTGTTTGATTTTGTATGATGTAGAGTAGGGGGGAAGGCGTTAGTAAGCTCAGTTTTGTTTGAATTTCTATAATGTGGAGTTGTTAGTAAGTAGACTTTTGTATGATGCTTGTATGTTTGTTTTTTGGGGAGTGATAGTAAGTTTTGTTATGATGTGGAGGGGTATGTTTTTGTTTGATTTTGTATGATAGCAAGCTGTTGGTAAGTGGTCTGATATGCATGGCCGGGTTTAATTGAAGAGGGTTTATCAAATTGAATATGTTAATATAAAGTAAATAGATTGATTGATTGATTAAAAGCTTCTATTATATATAGTAATGTAGTAGATGTTGTAATGCTATCTTTGATTGGCTTTTCCAGGAAAGTTGAACACCCTGTAACTGTAGTATCATATAGTAATGCAGTAGATATTGTAATACTATTTTTGAATGGCTTTTCCAGGAAAGTTGAACACCATGTTACTGTAAAAAGGGAAGTAAAAGAACCCAATTCACTGCACCATCAAGTTAACATGAATATGAATGTCAATATGCATATGGAAACAGTAAGTTCAACATTGTGAACATTAATCTCTCTACCTATAAACGATATGTCCCTGTAGTTAGTTGAATACAGCATACTGGTACATATATATGAATTTTGAAGAACAGAAAGAAGGAGAGTCCTGATGATGCTGTAGAACAGTGAAAGGTTGACTCCATATAAAGTCCATCTAARAGCAGTATCTGGCCACATTTGCTATATTATTACTCTCCTAGAAAGAAGGAGATTTTGGACTTATCTCAAACTTTTCCAAATAWTACATGTATCTCAAATATTAGATCAAACATTACTTGTGAAAAAAGCCTTGAATTCTTCCTGGTTTTTGTGTTTAAATTTTGATAAGAAGTTAAAAGACACATTTTAAATGTATTTAAATGTTTTTGTAATAGCCCAGCACAGGGTCTGGACACAGGGAAGCAATTGATGCAGCATTACCCAATGGAAATCTTCACCGACGGCCGTCAATGACGTCAAGAATAGAAGCACCTATAACAAAGGTTAAAATTGTTATTTATTATTATATTATTATTAATTTATAGATAATAGAGTTTAGCACACTTCACATTATTACTCTTTATTTTGTATGTTTGTCTTTTTAGTGTGTTACACATTATTACACTTTGAATATCACACTTTGTTTTACAGGTTAATTAAAGCTACTCTACTGATAGTAACTCAAACTTTTGTACATGCTTGTCTTCAATGAGATTTTGTTGTAATTTGCAGGTCATTAACATGCTAAACGCAGCACAAGAAAATAGCCCTGTTACAGTCGTACATGCACTTGACAGAGTTGTAGTGAGTTGAAATTTTATTTTTAATGTTTTGTATTATTTTTTATTTTGTTTTCTACAATGTTATTGTTATCATTGTCTTAAGAGATAAATTATACTTACAAATATTTTGCTTTTGTCCAGGAAATATTACGTAGCGCTGAGCTATATTCTCCTGTATTTGCTGGACATAATACAACAGATGCTGATGACGTGATGGCTAACGATCTTGTTGGTGGACTAATGAGTAATGTAAGTGGAACTTTTGCTAGAAATCTCTAATTTTCATGTGTAGAACTAGGAGATTCTTCATTGGACTTGATATCTCCCAAAGAAGGCCTTCACATTGTAAAAATACAAAAGATAGGGGAATATAAGGGTATACAATTTCAGAATAAGGAGCATCCCATGCACCTACTAGCTGGATCAGTCACTAATTTGGCATATTATTTGTTTATAATTTTGTTTGTTATTCCACAGGGACGACGGAGATCTGGTTGTGAGATACAGCGACCAAGTCATCCTTTACATCCATCAAAGGACAGACCACATATAAGTCACCTCCCTGAAATCCCCCCTGAAGCACTTAACGCTATGATAGATGTCGATGATTGGGACTTTGATATACTTAAGCTTGAAAAAGCCTCCAATCACAGGTTGGTTTCTACAAAGAGAGATTGAGATATCAAAAAAGTCATGTATTTCTTTTATTTACCTTTATTTTACTGACCTTGATGCTGATTTAGATCCCAGTTCAAACTACCAGCAGTACCATGCCATATAATAGAAAAATAGAAAACAAAACTGTTTTTTTTTTCTCTTGTTTCTATTGTAAACAGTAGACAGCACAATGTCTAGTATTTATAGTAATAATTCTCAGGAAACCTTACAAGACATTTTCACATCACTTTTATGTGGTGGTTGCAGTGTTTCTTGTATCATTYATAGTTTTTTTTATCTGTTTTCCAGGCCACTCTTCTTTTTAGGGATGAAAATCCTGAACAAGTTTTGTGTCTGTGAAAAACTCAACATAAGCGAAGATGTAATGAAAAATTGGTTACAGGTACAACATTATCATTAGTTTAGACAATAAACGTCATATATTGATCTTTTATTTCTTGTCACTAACAGTTAATAGAAGCAAACTATCATCGTAAAAATGCATATCACAACTCTACCCATGCAGCCGATGTCCTACATGCTACAGCTGTGTTCTTGGCTAAGGAAAGAGTAAAGGTAAGACACTTCCTTTTCCAAAAAGGTACTCATTGTCCTCCCTAAGGCCACGGTCTCAGTACCCAATGAACAGCTTAGGTTCTTAACAGTTATTCATTAATTTTATTTATTTATTTTTAATTCAGGCTGTATTGGAACCACTAGACGAGGTTGCATCATTGATAGCAGCTATTGTTCATGARGTGGACCATCCTGGATACACTAACTCCTTCCTTTGTAATGCTGGTAGTGAATTAGCAATTCTGTATAATGATATTGCAGTTCTGGAAAGCCATCATGCAGCTCTGGCCTTCAAATTYACTGCCAGAGAAGAAAAATCCGACATATTTCTTGGTCTTGATGTGTAAGTATTGAGTTGAAAGTGTGTATTCTATTTTATCAATTCCATTCTGCTCCATTTTATTTCACACTATTCTTAAATTAGTCCTACTCTATTATATTCATTTTAATATAACGCTGTATTTTCAGAGATGATTTCCGTACAGTTCGGCAGTCAATTATTGACATGGTGATGGCCACTGAGATGACGAGACATTTTGAACATTTGTCCAAGTTTGTTAATAGTATAAACAAGAGACGATCATCAAGTATGGATGAAGTTCACTCTGTGGTAATGAGTTTTCTTCTTTGTTGTACTAAAAAGTTTTGTTTTTGTTTACTCACTTAATCGTAAGTCTCACTGACAATCCTCTACCAATATTTGAATCTTCAATATTATATAATTTAGTTGTACAAAAACCAATTTTTCAATGCCTACAACAACAACAACAGCAACCACAACAACAACAACAACAGCAACCACAACAATAACAACAGAAAAAAACAACAATACTGACAATTACACTTCAGTAAAAAAATCTTCAATATTATATGATTTAATTGTCCAAAAAACAATTTTTCAATTTCCAACTCACAGCAACAACACTAACAGCAACCACAACAACAACAACAACAACAACAACAACAACAACAGCAACAATACTAACAAAAACAGCAATACCAACAATTACAACATCAGTAACAATAAAACTAATAATGATGATGAATATGTGATGATTATCTTCTCCTTCTTTTCATTACAGCATAGTGGGCGTGGCACTCCTGACTCGACAACTTCCTCAACCACAGCCCTTACTACTCCTGAGAACCGTACCCTWATAAAGAGAATGTTAATCAAGTGTGCTGATATTGCAAACCCTGCAAGACCAAGATATCTCTGTAAGGAGTGGGCAGAAAGAATAGCAGAGGAATACTTTTCTCAGGTCAGTGTTCGTCATTAAGGTTATACTCAAATGAAAGACTGAATGTACATTCAAATAAAATTTTCAATAATGAAGACCTATAATTTTATTTTTGGTAACAAATGATACRGCTGCTCTCCTGTAAGAATGAATGTACTTTTAGAAAGATGCACATAAGTGATCCACAGTAGAGATGGTCTTGTATRTCAACTGCTAAAAAAATTAGAAACAGTAGCATTTGTCTTWAGCTGGAGTAGGTGACAAACATGTTTGAAAATAAGATCAGAAAACCATTTGGAGTACCTCATTTTATGTGGATAAGGGAAAATTAAGTCTTCTAATATATTTGTGTAACAACAGTAATCATGATAATATAGATATGTAAAATATATTAATATATTTTTACAGACTGATGAAGAGAAAAGAAGAGGACTTCCAGTAGTTATGCCTGTTTTTGACAGAGCAACTTGCAATGTTCCTCGCTCACAGGTAGTTTAGAGCCCTTGAATTTTCTCATGGAGTGCGTCTTGTAATATCTTAAYTYAAATTGAATTTCTTTTTATATTCAGGTTTGGTTCATAGACTACTTTGTGAGTGATTTGTATGATGCTTGGGATGGTAAGTTCATTCGTATCCCATCCTATTTCCATTTTTTCATTATGCATTTCACATTTGGTTTATTTATACTATCTTGCTATTCCTGTAACCATCCTTCGATTCTTTCATCCTCCTTTTTATTCATTCAATTATTCATCTGTTTTATTCATTCATTTTCTTGTCATTTTTCTTTTTTTTTCATTTATTTGTTTACTTATAGACCCATCATAACGTATCCCATCAATCCATCCATTTACTTATGTATTTACATTGTAATCCATTCCCTTGTTTCTTTGATTGAATATTGTTTTAAGTAATAACCTGAGAATCAGGAGAAACAAAAGGAGGGGAGAGAAAAGGGYAGCTCACAGGCCTGTTACTCAGTTTATTAAAGTATTGTTTGTTTGTATACAGCGTTTGCACTAGTGCCAGAAACCATCAGGCACCTGACAGATAACTATGACTATTGGAAGAAGAAAGCAGATGAACTTGTGAGTCGTGTCTGAATAGTAGGTGTGCCAGTCCGTGATTACACACATTAACTCTTCTTAACTTTTAAAAACATAATTTATAACAWTGATGTAAAATTAATTACTGTTCTTTCTGGTAAAACCTAAAATAGTCTGTTAAAATAAAACTTTAAAGTTTATTATTAACTTAAAAAAACATTATTATTATTATGTTATGACTATGATTATTATTGTCTCAAGGCTTGATATTGTAACACAATTCAATTGACAGYTCACTCTGGCACTATGTTGTTCTGAACAATGATCTTTGAATTTGTCCATCAGCTTTGCATAGTGATCAGTTGATATCAAGTTTCATTTTGTCAGTTTCAATAGAGTCATTTTCATCCTTCTGTGAAATAGGAATTGTACTATAAATACTATTACCCCCTATTGGCTCCCAATAGTTTAACTTATGACATGCAACAAACTAATCAGGCAAACACGGTTTTGATTTTGCCTTTTGGTAGCCTACTACACTCTAKTAGTTACTATTAAACACTGACTAGTAGTAAATGTTTCACAGATAGATGAAAATGACTCTATTATTTTTCCTTGATTACTTGTTCCATTTGACCTTATTGGTTTTTGACCTTATTGGATGACTTTTTTGTATGCAGGATGCAAAGCGTGTGGCTTCCCCATCAAGCCCGGCAACCTCTGACACCACTGCTGGCAGTTCAACAAATACTGCACTCAATGCAGCTTCAACTCTGTCAACAACATCAGCACAGTCTTCATCTTCCCTAATGTCATTGACTTCAGCATAATGTCGTACACTATTGACTTGTATTTAAGCAATATTCAGGGAGATGCGATATTATACTAAGAAAAGTTATTGTACATAGCTTCCCTTTTGGAGAGACACAAAGATATTCTCTAGAACAATTAATATGCTATATTCTATTTATTTGTTGAGTGAAAAAAGAAGAAAAAGATTTTTGTTTCCTGAAGCTGACACTATATAGAACAAGCAAAATTATCTCCTTTATGATGAAGTCTTCTATTTTACTTTGATTAAGTATTCCATTTTAGTTTGATCAAGTCTTCCTTGATCCGCTMTCAATTTTATCATGTTGTTCTTAAAACTTTTAAAGGATTGAATGAAATTGGTAGCCATCTGTTTTGTGCTCAACCTAAACTATGAATGCTGCTCCTTTGAATAGCACTTGCCAATCATCATTGACTGACATTTGTCAATCATTTATAAATTACACTTGTTATTKATCTGTGAATGTGTTTGTAAATTACTTGTAATTGGCACTTGTCAATCAAATTAGAACTAATCTGTCAATCACCATAGAATTCCTCATGTAATGTATCATTGAGTGATTCATGTCATTCAAAAAGCTAATGATACTCAGTGAGTGGCACTTGTCAGTCATCTGKAACTGACACCTGTCAATCATCTCTGAATTGCACTTGTCAATCATTACATCATGGCTTTTGTCAATCATTTGTAATTGAATTGATCATCTCTGACACCTGTCAGTCAATGTTGTGATTTCATTTGTCTGTAGATACTTTTATCATTGAATATATAGAATTTTAGTCAAGTTTTGCACAGTCAGTGACTAGCCAAGTGTCATTCAATTTCTTGAACATRCTGATTTCATAGAAAATTCTCTCCCAATGCTGTCTTGCGGTGTTCCATGTGGGAGGTCTTGCATTCTATCATTCAATCCTGCTGTTTTATGCCAATGTTCAGGCTTTTAAATTGACCATCTTTTTTCCCTTTTAACCATAGAATCTTATTTCACTGTGAATTTCTCTAGGCATTTTGGTAATTTAGCAATATTAAGTGATTTTATCCATGAGACCAGTTACTATATATAATTATGTATATGAAGATAATACAAAAATTGTAGAATAACATAGTAGTTTTGGAAAATTTACCATATATGTATGATTTGCTAATTATAATTATTATTGGTCTTATTGAAATGATAAGAGACCTTACTAGATATTATGGGATGACTGTGTACATGTTATGTATATCATGAGCTAACATTTTTTCTATGCATAGATGCTCTGCCAAGACTGTAAATTCATGTAAGCACATTTAGTGTTTTTAGTTTTGTAGTTAGTCTTTCTACTTTGTACATCATCAGCTTAGATTAAGCCCCCCTCCCTCCCCCCTTCAGATCACTGATTTGATCARATGTTGGTCATAGAAATGGCTGGTGTTGTCTTCACATGGAGTCACAACTACCTTCCATGAGTGCAAGCCATTCTRGAGGGGGCATATTTATGTTATATTTAGGGGGAAGACGGGCTCTAATAATAAATTACTAATTACCAAAATAATTATCAGATTGTAAGAAAAACATAATCATTCTTATTTAATATTTCAACTCATTTTATGCGCAAAACACCTCTCTTCTACCCCCTAAGGAAACCACGTCATTCCCTATTTTGATCATTGCTACAACAGTACCATATTTGGTAGATGTTTCAAATGTGTACAGACATATACAACTTTCAAATATGGTGGTCACAGTTACCGATGGTAATGACTAACGAAGAAACATAGAAACAAGGCTTCCAAGGCCGAACATCAAATGCTGACAAACTTGTGGTAGTGGCAAAGTTTGAGAGGTGTATTGCATGTCATAGTCTGTCAAGGTATCTGAGCAAGATGTCATGTTSTATAATGGACATCGTGTTTAAAGCTGGCCTTTGAGACCTTGTTTTGTGCTTCATRCATAGTACTGCAGTCAGTGACTGTGARGTAWGAGCGCCATTTTTTAAAGTCGTCAATAACTATCAGTGTTTTGATGCTATTAATAATTATTCATTTGAGAAGTTTAGCTTAGGCTTGTTGCTATTGGTAATATGTCAATCTGAAGTAAAAAGCATCAACTAAAACATGTTTATAGTTCTTGTGTAGGGTGGGGGAGGGTCACCAATTCCCCTCCCTACTCCCCTTGGMCAAAGTCCAACCTGGCCAAAATTTTCCATATGATGGTTGACTTGACAYGAAACAGAGACTTTGGAAGAAAAGTACAATTTATTGTTCTTCAAATTGRYATTCCCTTTGGAATATGKTTACATTGCATTATSGCTTGCAATCTTGCAGCACTATCTTACGGTACTGAGAAGCATTTATTTGGCAAATATTGCATAATGCTATCTTAGGAGGATTACAAAAGACAARATCCACTTAGAAAATRCAAGCAAAGGTGACACAGCATACAATAAAAAGATTTTTTATTACAATTTGACATCAAGATTACAAGAGTCTCGCATTCACCTTCACAGTATTCATTTGTAGAAGATTTACCAGTTGAACACTTGGCAAAAATACTTAAACAATTATTATACAAAAACAGCAGCTTCCAGTTGAATATAGAAGTTTCATGAATTACAATAAGGTATTCATATAAAACAATAAACGTCAAACAAAGAAAAAAACAGACAAATAAGTTACTTGGTCCACAAAAATTGYATTGAGCAATATTACAAAAATACACTTCAAGTGCTACTTTGATACTGTTTTTGAAACCATTTGTTCATGGGCCATGTAAATTCAATTGTCTTGTGAAAAATCAATGTTTTGGAGGAAGCGAGCAATGCCTGTGATTTTGATGTCCCTAAAGTATGCTTGGCGTTAGTTCTTCTTGGCTTTAAAGTTCTCATATTTGCTGTGGCTTCGATACCAGATCAATAATGGAACTAACATTGTTGGGATACACATTAGACTGAAAAGACCCCAGTCAACCTATAAAAAAAAATACAACATGATCAAAAACTGGTTTGCTTTGGCCCTGTGAATACATCTGAATCACATATCAAAATCAACACCCAGGAAAGACAACATCTGTATCATATTTTTTTAAATATGAATACATCTGTGAATACATCTGAATCACATATCGAAATCAACACCCAGGAAAGACAACATCTGTATCAAATTTTTTTTAATTTAAGTGAGATTTTTGGCCATATATTCACAGATTATTGGTGTGATTATTAGACTGTATGGTAATTACCAGATGTGGAGAATGCTTTCTTTGGTAATCTTTATTGCTCATAATGACTCCCTCGCCAGGTCCAGTAGAGTATGCAACCTGCATAATATAGAACACATTATTAAACCAAAATGTTGAAGACAACTAAATATCAAACCGCTACAATTCGGTTTTCATTTTAAAAATCTCTTCTTTTTTCCCTTGTTTACCTGCACTGCAGCTTCTTCACTTGGTTTGTAAGTGACTTTAGCAGACGTAAAGTTGAACACTCCTGCTTTCATTGGTCGTAAAATGATTGAATGTGAAACATTAGTCCCACTATTGTGATGTTAAGGATGAAAATCAATAATATTTATCCATCTTTTTAAAAGATGACAACAGCTGTGGTAATACTGATGGTTATTCATTGTTATTATCATCATTTTCATCATCAAGAACTATTGGCATCATCACCAGCAGTTAAAGATGTTTTTACTACAACCACCATAACCCATATACTACTATTATAAATTACTAATTAGCGGGACTCACACACACACCCTTACATTGACTGTGTTAGAACCAACTAAACTTTATAGATAGTTTTTGACTATAAGTAGAAACCTCAGCATATCCAAATATAAACCCTCCTGAAAGAACCAMCTGACAAAGCCCATTATTATAGTTCTGAACTAGCAATTGATTCAGGAATCATCACTGATACACTGGTACTTTAATCACCTGCCCAACCTTTTTCCCCTCCCCAGTACCGCTGGGGCGATCTCCTGTTGTTTAGGAGGAGACTAACCCTGGGTTCCTGGGGAAAATCTCTTAACAATATTAATAATAACAAATCCAAATAAGGATACGGAGCAATGGATTTCCATTTGATTGACGTCAAGCCATGYACAACTTTAAAAGCTGACTCTGAGAAAGATTCCTCAGTTAATGTTACTGCTGTAGCTGGACTAAAWAAGAAACAAAACCATGGCTTAAATGAAATTCAATTTATTGAATATGATAGACTACAAACAGCTAACAATACACCCAATTCAAAACCACACAGAATAACACTGAACTTCAATTCATTCATTCATTCTTTCTTTCTTTCATTTGATCATCTATGCATCATGTTATGATTTACCTTGATCCAACGTTATACAAAGTATAGAGAATTGTCAGGTCTTTGCCTTCAACAACAAACTGATTGAGTACATTCTTGGCTACAACAAGTCTTGCATTAGACTCGCTATCACAGTGGACACTGCCAGCCAAAACACCAAGAACTAGCGCTAATAACAACTATAACAAAATAAAATACTATCAATATCTACACAGGAAGCCCGGTTGGTTGTAAGTCTTTAAAATAATTCCTTAAAACGATTTGAATACATTATAACAATCTAAAAAKTTCTTAATATTTCTTGAAAAGCTTTCTGTYGATTTAYAGTCGAATTATGATGACTTAAAGCACATKATTTTGAYAYAATCTATGAAAAYGAATTTTCAAAGGTTCCACGCTTTTTCTACAAACTATAACTTTCATGGATTACTATTTTTTTCGAAATATGATGCTTTATATGCATCTCTTACATGCATAGATAAGGTTCAATATAGAAATATAAGTCAAATCAAGGTAGATTTTTACCATAATTGAAGAATCTTTACACTGCTTTCCAGTCCGTGTCTTTGTGTTCGTATCCAAAAGAAAGAAAGAACCAAAGATGACGTGTTCTGAGCACGCTCTCATGGCATTGCATGCTGACCGTGTATAAACGCAGGCTCCACTCCACACAAAACCACAGGGAGCCCAATCAATAATTCCCAATTTAAAGTTTAACTGGTCTAGTTTTATCTTATCTAACTTTAAAGGCACAAAGAACAACATAATAAAATGCCATAATGAAAAGAGAGATATTGATCACAAAGACTGGAGCGCACACTATGACAATGAGCGATTCGACGCAGAATATTTCGGAATATTCCAAACTTTTCTCCCTTTTTCTTTTTTTRCTTTTTGTCAAAGTTTCGAATCCGACGATGAGTGTTTTCTCTTTTTTTCGTTATTATATAACCATGTTTACTTTTCGTATTTTTTAATTATTTTTTTCTTATCATCACCATCATTATGTATTTGAGCGTGTGCAATRAYATTTCTCATTTCATATTGTRTTRCTTWAAAAAAAAWATAAAATAAAATGWTATAGGTACAATGTAGACAAAACTCCCTCCCCCTCCCCRGCGGTGCTGTGACGTCACGTCGTCGCGAAGAGCGCCACGGGCAAACACAATCTTGACTGTTGCTGTGTTGTTTGAAGTAGGCKGTGCTAATGGTTCACTGAACTTCGAATGGGTCAAAATACTACGTAGCTTGAACTCTCATTTAATTCGGATAGTCKAATAACTGCTTYTATTTCTCTTCGTCTCTCAGACAAGAAYTTTGGGTGATTTCTTCTCCAAATCATGATGAAAACAGAAACGTAGTGAGCTGGATTAACTTCATTTCTGCGTTGTTGAACAATGGACGGCGGTACTTCTCTTCAATTAACAGTTGTTATTCTCGAGTAAGTACATTATTTTATTGATTCAAGAGAAGATATGCCTGTCATGAATGTCCATGAACAAGTTGAAAGCCTGACTCAGGAAGGACACAAAGCTTTGTCGGAAGGAAGGTTGGATGAAGCATGCCTTTTCTTCGACAAAGCAGCTACCCTCGCCACAAGTTTAGATGAACGATTTACCGAAAGGGCCTGCTATTTTAACTTGGGAGCTTGTTGTGTAGCACAAGGAGATGCCAAAAAAGGCTTAGAGTATTTAAAAAAGGCTTTGCCACCAGATCGCGACTCTGACGGGACTGCCAACTATGCCGACCTACACTACAACTTAGGACTTGCTTATGAAGTCCTTGGTCAATTCAGTTCATCAGTGGAATGTTACGAGGTTGCTCTAGCAGAGTATAAGACTCAAAATAATCATGAATTGCAAGCAGAGACTCTAAATAAACTAGCTGTTGCATGTACAACTACTGGAGAGCTATCAAAGGCTGCCAAGTATTACGGCGATGCGGGAGACGTATATAAGAACTTGGACGACAAGACCAATGAAGTCTTTGCTCTCACGAGCCGAGCAAACTTGCTGGGAGAGATTAGAGACATTGAAAACTGTGCGGAAACTTTGCGTGCTGTGATTGCAATATGTGAGGAGCTAACAGACCAAACTCTACAAGGTATGYCAAATTCACACATGGCCATTTTTTGCACTTGTCTTGACACGACTTAACTCCAACCCAATCAAAAGAACTTTAATCCATTATTATGACTGTAGCGAACAGACTGGTGATGAGATCTTATTCCAAAGTTCCAGTAATGACAGATACTATTGTTTGTTTATTGTTAAGTATATGGTTGATGTATGTAAATATGAGATTAAGAAGTATTACACTTTATGATTTTTTTTAATGTTACTATAGCAACATAACCTTTTTTAAAGCATTAGGAACCCTATAAATTCATAAAATTATTAGTGATGCATTTAGGTCTTATAAGAAATAATCCACTATTCACATAAAATTCCTTTGATGTTGTGTTGTTGAATTTGAGATGCAGTACTATCAGAACAAAGCTTTCCATTTGGAGAAATTCAGTCAAATGTGATATTATTGCTATGTTTTGGTAGTAAGTATTACTAATGCCAAGAGGAATAATTACTAGCAACACTAGAGACAGCAGTAGAAAACCACTATAAATTGTTGTTGTTGACTAATATTGTTGTTAAAAAATTGATATATTTTAGGCAAGGTGTACAATGATCTTGGGCTGTTATACAATCGTCTCAAGTCTTACAATAATGCAGCTGAGTGCTTTGAGATTGCTATACCTCTCATAACTGGGTGTGAGCATGAGAAACAACTTGAGGCAGTGCTGCGTCAGAATCTTGGTGCAGTGTACAACCAGATAAAGAAGTATGAACAAGCACTGGAACAGCATGAAATAGCAATTAGGTTACACGGTGAGTTATATTGCTGTATATTTATGGAAAGAGGTCTATAGAAGAAATGGTATTTAAAGCTTATAAAGTGTTCCTCTTGGTTTAAGGGTGTGTGATATGAGAGCACAAGAGAAGCCAATTTTTTTTTTTGAATGACCCTACTGAATGTAGTCTAGCACTAATAGTGCATTCTTACTGACTATAACTCTTGCTTTYTAGGTGAATTGGGAAACAGATCTGCTGAAGGACAGGCAGCATGTAACATGGGCTTTGCCTACAGTCAGCTAAGGCAGTTTGATGAAGCTGTTGATAAGTTCTCACTTGCTATACAAGCCTCTAAAGACACAAATGACCTRTGTAGTCACTGGCAGGCTAATGAAGGCCTTGCAGCGGTGTATTTCCTTAAGAGAAACCATAGAAAAGCCGTTGAGCATTATAAAGCTGCATTAAGCTCATTATCATCATCAGGAGCATTAACGGCAGAGCACAACGATCGCATTGTCAACAAACTTGCTGACGCAATGAAGTTCCTGTACTTACAAAATGATGTCAAGACTGAGCACAAGAAGAAAAGGAGTTTGAAACACAAGAAAACTAGAAAAGATAGTGATGGAACTGATGAAGGTTCAACAAATGTTGGTAAAACAAGACKAAGGGGTCACTCACACCACAAACTCATCGCCAGGGGAATTGATGGGCAGTTTGAAGAGGACACAGACTCAGAAACTGAAGGTTTGTCACGTGAGGAAAGCACTGACAGTGATGACTCAAATAGTGACAAAAGGTATGTTCGACAGACATGGCGACAGAAAAAAGCTGAGAGAAATCTGAAAGTGGGTTCAAATCCTCAGTTACTATTATCCGGACCCTATCAGAATCTTATTAAAAGAAGAAGTAGAGACAGTTCTGAACATGATGATGGATATGAAGAACCTGCAGAGGAAAAAGGAGGTGTTTCTAAGAAGGCATCAAGTGATTATTCACAAGGTATGCCCAGAGCACATAGAGAAGCTTARRTAGCATCTATTGCTGCTGCTACTTCAACACCAAAGAAATCAGCTCCTTCTGTACAAGATGTTAGTCAAAACTCATTTGACAGTAAATACACAAACCAGTCAAAGATGTGTGTCATCCAGTAATACCTTTGCTGACAAAAAAAGACAAAATCTATGAAATCGTCAGCTTGGGAAACAGAAGGRTCTGCCTGGCATTACTGTAGTTAGTTTGGCAAAACTAGATTTTTATAATATAACCTCTTAAAACAGTTATTTTGCAGTCATTGCATTGATTGCTGATATTTTTATAAGATGAAGAGCAGGATATTTTCTTGATAAAAACTATAATATGAAATTAAATGCAAAATATAGAGCCTTTGTCTTTAATTTTATTTAGTTATATGAAACTACATTTTAATGAGAATCAAATAACTGGACAATAATATCTACTGTGTAATATCACAGATTAAGCCATGCACTACACAAGGAGTAGTGGATGTGTTGATGCCCCAGAAGTTTGAATGGAGAAATAGGGGTGACTGCAATACATCAAGGCCACGGCATTGGCAGTTTTGCACTAAATTTGCTCTACCTTGCATGGCCTCAAGCATGTACTGCTTGGGAATTTTAGTGCAGGCCATATAAGTACTGAAAATAAAGGTATAATTTTGGAATGTCAGTTTATTTTTCTTGGTGGCATGGTGGCTTTTCAGTTCATGCCCTTGGAAGCCTACTTGTCCTCCTACCCTCCCAAGTTAATTTGTAGAAAAACAAACACACGGTTTCTTAAAAAACAATTTTTATTGGATCAAACTAATATTGGTTAAAATCATTTATGAGTTCACGTTGCAATTTGCTATCTGATAWAAAGTTTACTGTATTTTTCCTACAAGTATAGATAAAGCTATTTAAGTGTACAAGAAAATAATATTRATCTCTTTCATGCAACATTTTCTTATCAATGAAATGGATTTGATGGCTTCATTCAATTCAATAGCCTTCAAAGTTGCCTGCCGCATCCTGTGACTTATCTTTCAGGGAGATGCATGGTACTGTGAATAAAGCTTTTGAGCCATAAAAGAGATGATAATGTTGTAAGTAACAGAAAATTTCCATACATTTTTGTAGTATATTTGAATGAATTTATTTTATTGTTTACACCCAACTTTTTGGGCCATACACTTTTGAAGTTAGGTTGGCCTTGATAAGAGTCTCATTTCCATTCAKAAAAATGATGGGGCCACTAAAATATGCTCCCCTTTATGTGTGGCTTAGTTCAAAGTACAAGTAGACATGTAACCAGTCTAGAAATGTTTCATCAGGAGTACCACAGTTTTCAAAAGTAAACAGGGCCTAATATTTTATTTCTGAGAATTACACTGACCCTGACAAAATACAATATTCATGTTTGAATTAATCAAGCTAATAAATCGCTGATCTGTATGCTAAAGAAAGCTACATTAGACCTTAGTAAAATATTTGAATAATGTAATAAAATAAAAATAAATTAATCACTTAAATTKAATTTTTGTGTAAAAATTAAATACACTCATATATACACACAATAGCTTTCAAATTGTATTATTTGTTAGTACAGAATCTTATTCCAATAAATCAYCATTCTTTGTTTTGGGCTTTCTGTGCCCTGCTTGTGCTTCCCACAGGAAGCCCAAAGCAAAAGACAATACTTAGTAAATCTGACAGTAGATTTAAATAGAGTAGATGCAGTTAATCCATAATTATTAACTAAACTAATTATTACTAAAGAAGGTTGATTAGTCAAAATATAACCAAGGAAATACCATATAACATTATAAGCTTATTCTTCAGCAACAATAAAATCGGAAATTCACAAATTCCAATAACTCCATGTGCCGCTTTGCAAAATTTTAAACTTTTGAAAATGCAAGTACTCCAGAAAAAAGTCAGAAATAGGAATAATTTGATCAAGTTTTTTAATAACAAGAGAAATAGTGTCAAAATTATGTGGCACTAAAAATTGTGTTATGCCAGCATTCCACCCTTTGTACACTTTTCAAAGCTTTTAAATTGGAAAGCAAACACTTGCCTGTTGAAGAGCCACAATTTGAGCTATGGAAGTAATGGCAATTTGACAATACTCTTCAGTAACTTGCAATTTGTTTGAATAATTCCAATAACAATCAGAGCTTAAAATAAGGAGAAATTCTAGAATTGAATAGCTACACCATCAATATTGTGACCAGTACAGTGATATGAGTTAACAATATGATTGCAATTTGTTGGATTTTTTTAAAAAGATTTCTACACATGTATACAGTTATGCTTATAATTATAATAATTATCAATTAAGTATAATTTCTAGATTTTTTATATGTACACTAGGTTTATACTGTAAGAATTCAAATGGTTTGATCATTAATTATTACTGTGTTACTGTATTCAACGCATGACATGTGTAAAATATTTGAATTTTCTCTTCATGCCCATATCTGCAAAAGATAAAAAAATATGTTCCTTTTGGTTTTACAACTTTTCATTATAAATTTTTACACAAGGTTGTTGATTGATCATGGGTGAGTTTAATTTGTGCCCTGGTTGACGAGAATGATTCATAATGATGACAGATAATAAAGAAGAGGATTAAGATGATGATGATATATTTCCAGGGGCTTTGGGAGACTCTCTAAACCCCAAGCCAGAGATATAGTTTCCAGTTTTACTTGTTATTTTTGCAATATTATTTGAATAAGCCAATCATGTGCCATTGAATCTCAGACCATTGGAAAGCGGATGATTGGATGATAATACATGATGATGATGATAATGATGAAAATCACAAAATGATGCATTATGATACTAATACTGATGACAATAATGATACTGCTTTATAGTCTGGCGGTATGGTTACAAGAATGTATGATGATATTTCATGATGTCAATACGTCAATTTTTGTCGCTATATATATCATTATTACCCTTAGAGTCTGATCCCAGCTTCCTGTACAGACACATGTACCATCTGGTGACACACGCAGGCAGCTAAGCCGATTATCATGTCCATAATAGACAGCTAGTCTTTCAGACTGAAACAATATTTAGAAATCAAACCACTCCTTCAGTAAAACAATCAGTTTCGTGCTAYCAAAGGTTTRTATCCTGCTAGCAAAGATTTCTAGTCTAGTGTCCTCTGCTAGCAGCAAAGTCAGTCAATCCCACAAACACTTGTTCACCAAGCTATCAGTCAAGTTGTCAATGAATTACTCAAKCAAAAAATGAGTCTTCAACCAATCAAAACAGACAATGAGTCAATCYAAGTAGAAATGTCGCCAGTCATCAAATCTAAAGCTACAGCTCTCACGGTCAATTGGTGACTAATAATATTGAAAACCRTAATATTAATATTAATCCTATGATTAATACTTACCTTTAATGAATCCCATACGTGTATAGTGTAGTCATGGAAACCKGCAAATAATAGTCTTCCTGTGGAAATCATGTAATTTTACTAACAATTCATATGAATCAGTCAAARTGCAATTATTAATCTAGTATTAATGAATATCAATAGCAGAGTATCTTACCACTTATAGAGAAGTCCAGGGATGCAGCTCCAAAGATAACATAGTCTTTACTATACACTGCTAATTCATGATCTGCTCTCAGATCAAACAAACGGATCTACAACATTACACAAAATAAAAAAAAATTGTATGGATCACATTTTATTAATATTTTACTACGTTTAGCAAAATAATGTTTGAGAATTTTGTCAATGTAATATTTTTGACATTCCTGCACAATATAATTTTAATATAGAATAAATTAAAAATTCTTTTTTTACCTTTCCATCATCACAAGCTGTTCCAAAACCATCTCCTCCAGGAAAAAACCTMAAATAAACAATAATATTTCGTTTACAGAGTAAAAASACTACACAGAAAAAGAAATATAATCATTATACTTACCTGACGCAGTTGATATCAGAGGAATGATTTTGAAAGGAGTTCGTTATCTTGCCGGTCCGTATATCCCAGACATGTGCACTTTTGTCACATCCCTGTTATAAGATTAACAATAAATAACTTTAAGATCATATTTTGATGAGAGGAAGAGAGATTAGTATTTATTTTACCCCAGAAATGAAAATGTTCCCTCCTTCAGATGGTGACAGGTCTAAGCTGAAAAACAAAGAAATCATCAAAATAAWCKTCATCTGAATGATTGGTTKAACTATCAAAAACAAACCAACAAACACACAAGACACAATGTTCAAACCTTGCAACATCAGCTTCATGCCCATGAAAGCTTTGAATTAACTGACTAGAATCCACATCCCATAACCCACAAGTTGAATCTCCACTGCCGGTGAATATCTTAAAATTGGGATATTATTATTGTCAATTTATATTCTTTATAAATACTAGAGATTAGAATAGTGTCCTTTGATGTTCTCTCACACAACCAGARGAACTTGCAATGGTAAACATGCCAGTTCACCAATTTCATTTCTGTTTCTCAAGAGTACATGTATTTGGGGATATGTCATATGTCATTTTCTAATTACAACATGGAGGCTTTGACTCCATGGTAAAACAAGTTAAGATGAGGTATTGCCAGCTATCATCAATACAACTTAGCTACCTAGTGCAGAGAATGGCATTATTGTAGTATAAAGCACCACAAATATAAAGCCAAAACATTAACAATMMCTTCAAYAAGTAGTGACAATCTTACCTGATGATCAGAATTGGAAAACTGACAGCATGACATGTAACTAGTGTGCATGGCAACCGTTTGTTTCTTGGCATTAGGTGTATCTTCATATGTCAGCCTGAAGACTGAGCACTTATTATCAAGTCCCCTAGAAAAAAATGATTTTATTTCAAGCAACTTGARACTTTAAATATTATCTCTTATGTCCCACAAAAATAAGAAATATTGTATCACTAAACACTCTTTAAAATGCTTTGAGTGACCTAACACTCAATGGTTTGTTGACTTTGTTTGTAAGTGTTGGTGTAGTATCACAAATTATATTGGATGGAGTTTGAAGGGATTTAGCCATCCATGTTATACACCAAGTGAGAGAGAGACACCATGGAACTGACACAGGGACTGAGAACTAGATTTTCTTTTCYACATACCCACAGGCCACTAGATTTCCTGACGGTGAATATGAACAAGCTAAAACCCATGTAGTTGGCATAGATATGGCATGTTCCTATGGGCAAAACAACAGTAATTACTGTACTTGAATGAACTATTTTAAAATTATTTTCCATGACCCAGGTTGAACATCTTAGCAAGATCTTGTAAGATCATGAAAGATATAATATAGGTTAATGTATGAATGGTATRTTGCCATGAAATGGTGAGATCTTGCCATGAAACTGGCAGGATCTTGACATGATCTTTTCATGATCTTGTCACAAGATCCTGTAAGAAGCTGCAAGAAATACAAAGATCTTGCATGTTTTTTAGAAAGATTAAGGTATGATCATGGAAAGATCATGGAAAGATCATGGTAAGATCATGCTGATCTTCCATGAATTTTGCTAAGATGTTCAACCTGGAAGGTGCATGAGATAGTTGAAAATGTTGGGTAGAATTATTTTTATAATTATTATCTTTATGGTGTTGACTTTATCATATATACTAACCTTATTAGTAGTAAATGCATCCCATACTATAACTTTACCATCCTTAAATGATTAATGAGAAATGAAATCATGAAAACCACTGTTCAGGATTCCTGTAGTGCTATCCACACAGGTAACCCATTCTGTAAGTGCTGAAAATTTTTTTTAGCTAAAACCAAATGTTACTTTTAACCCCAGGACATACTCTCAAAAAATGGGGACATGCATATCATTAAGAATCTRTGTGGTACTTGCCCAACYTGMCAAATTATATCTTACCTGTGAACTACTGACTAAATGCCTTTTATCACCTGACCAATCCATACATAATACTTTGCCTTGGTGGCCCTTTAAAATACGACGTACTTTCATAGGACATCCTTGTAAACTTTTAAGCTTATTTGACACATCTTTCACTAAAAAATAATGTGAGAAATTAGAAATGATATAAGTATATAGTAACTGCTTCAATATGGAGGCATGCTAAGAATATCGAATTTACTAAGAATGCAGAAGGGAAACAGACTTTATACATGTCATAGCTTCATATATTAACACCTATAATATTATGATTGTACAAAATAAGCTGATAGAGTAAAACAAGAAAATACAAAAATGAGAAAATAGTCATAAAAAAAAATTGGTACTTGTAAACAGAGTGAAAAATGCTAATTCRATTGTTTTCWTTTGCATTTCGCCTTGGTAATAAATCCATTAATATCTTATATATAAAACCAAAACTAATTTCATGATAAATGCCAATAAACATGTWATTTAATTGGGATYCTGAACAACAAATTTAATAAGGTGAATTTCTTTGCTGTAGGTAGCTTGTCTTGGCAAATTTATTCATATGTCAAGTGCTTTTCCTGCASATTCTCAACATTCTGTGATTTTGAATTAAATGAATGTCAATTTTTTTCTGTTCTTGTCTCTCTTAGCTTTAAGGAGACACATTTTGACTAAAGTGAAGACAATAAAAGATAGATAACATTAAAATTCTTTTAAGYATCAAATGAACAATTATTCAGGACATTTCATACATGATAATCTTTCTTTATTTCAACAAAAAACACTCATTTGCATAGCTCCAAGCTTTATCTTGAAAGKTGATTAGTGAAGTAAATAAAGGAATATGAGAAGTATTATAGGCTATATAATAAAATTTCCTTTCACAATGAATTGAATTAAACATTCACCTCAGCTACACTATTAAAATATAGTTGGAACTATCAGACCATACATGTCAATATTTAAGTACTTTATTAATCAGTGTGCTGACTTTTATTGGTACATGTCTATACACGCTATTGACTTCAGAACAATTGTCTCTATTTGAATATGTTAATGAAATAATCAGGTTTAAATACTTTCAAAGGGGAGTGGCAAAACATGCATTTCACAGGTTTTGATTATTTCCCATTTTAACCTAATTAAAAGCTGGCTAAAATAATTCAGTTTTTATTCGACGATCGAACTGAAAAAACATCAAATTTCCTCCTAAGAGTTAATTTCGTCGCACAGGAAGCCCGCATTGTCCAGATTACTTCAAAATGCACGCTCAATATTATTTTCCAAGTAATATTATAAGAATTCCTTTTTCAAAACAAAGCCAATCAAAACAAAAATAGTATAACSACAAGTAAATGAAACAGATTAAATATATTAATTCCTGATTTTTGATGTAGATTGAAAGTGAAGAGCCCTTTTCAGTTTCTGCTCAAACGTAAAAGTCAAAAATGCAGTCGTTCAAAAGACAACATTACAAGCGATTTGCAAACTACTGCTTTGCAACTTACAATCTTCATCGTGGTACTTTCTCTTTTCCTCTTCTATCTTGATTTTTAATTGCTCAGCTTCCCTTGCAAGCGAATCTAAAGAATCCTCGGTTTCAGCTCCGGACGCCATTTTGCGCCTCTTTCCTCAATATTTATTTTGTACATCCGGGATTTCTTGTAGTGTCATACGGGATATTGATCATCCGGGGTATTTTGTCTGACCGTCTTTTGTTGACATGACGACAGCCGCCTGGGGCGAATACACATTTTGGAACAATTTGGCAATAACAAACGACGAGTTMGAACTGCATTTTCCACTTTTCTAGAGATTTTAAGCGTACGATATTCAATATTTTAGGACAAATATGACTGACACAATTACTGCAATCAGACACAATAATTCAGGAGGAAAAACTCTGCTGGACAACTGGGTTGAAGAGGTACATTTTCGTGATTTTGTAGCAAAAATCATCTTTGGAGAAAGTAAGCTTAATTTCTTTTTCTTTTCATCAGCGCCAAACAGAGCAGTTTAAAGATCCTGACGCAACTCAATCTAAATTACAGAAGTATGGCCACAGGGTAAGTTATTTCCTTCTTGCCAAATGGCCAGGAGTTGGTTGGTGTATCTGTACACTGCGAGTCAGATAAATATGGACAATGACTCTAAGAATATTTAATATCTAACTCACTTCTTTTAATTATATTTGTGTATTCATTTGATACTTGTTCCTGTTTTGTCTAAATACATTTGATATTTGTCGAATCATCCCAATTTTTTCATTCATTTGTTCATGCGTTCATCCARCCATTGTTTCTATTTCTGTTTTTCTGTTCAGTAACAACAAATAAATAATGTGCTATTTGTTCATTCAAAGGGTATTATGACAACAGAGTTTGATGCTAAAGCTGAAAATCTAAGCACTGTCAGAGTTTCATACCAAGAACCCAGACAACTAGGAATAAGAACTACAGGGACAAAGGAAGAACAAATGAGAGCCAAATTCCTWGAGCAAGTAGCTGCCGAAGTTCAAGAAGAATTAAATCCACCTCCTCCTCAGGTGGAATATTTGTCAACAACCCATAAGGATTTTAACAAAGGTTATTTTTTTCCTGCTTTTCAATGTTACTACTTTGTTTTGTATTGATATATTGACATCAGTATTTTTTTTAGAATTTGAGCCAATAGTAAAYGAACCAACACGTGTAAGTGTCACATTGATTTATATTTTTCAATCATTTTTTGTTGCAATATTATTTTTCAACACACTTGTGTGAATTCTTGAGAAAACTCCATTCAGGTTATTTAGGACCAAAAAGATGATAACAATTAGACTGATATCAATATTGCTTACAATTTCATTGATAGAAACACAATGCCAATACTGATCAACCAGCAACATTCTGGTTAGAAAGAAACAAAGAAATCCATGTAAGTATTACAAAAAAGAAAAGTTAATCCCAATTCACTGTAATAACTTTTGTAATTTATTCAAACCTTAGCCATTCAGTTGTATCCACTGATGAAGCCTGAAAAGGCGAGACGTCTGGAATAAAGTTATCGACTTTATATGCCTTAAGAAGTATTTCCCAAAAATTATATGTAATTCTTTCTGTCGTAGAGAGTGACGGGGACCTAATTATATAACTCTATATAGACTATGCAAGTTAGAGTGATTTTCAAAACTAAAACAATAAATTGAAAACCATTATCTTTAGGGTGTTTCACAAGTCAAGTCAGAAGATACACCATTTCGCAAAAATGCTTCCTTCAGCACTCCTATTGGAGAGTACCTTGATTCACCAAAACCAGGAGAGCAATGGAAATTCTAGTCTTGCAAAATATTATTTATTGCTTGGCACATATGTAAATTACTATAGGAATATTATTGAATGTAATGAGCTATACCTGAATGTGGATTCATGTTACCAATAAAATATATTTACAATATAATTGTGCAGTAATATCATCAATATGACTGATTTAATCTAAAGAGATTGTAAAACATTCAACATGCTTGCTGTGTTAGCTATTATTAACTAAAACACTACTATTCATTTTAGTTATAACTTTAGTTTTGATGTACTGGTCTTGCTTTTTCTCTTTTTATTTGTGTCTTTCTTGGAGTTCACTTGCTGTTTGACCTCATCATGTAACCGAGAAAAGAAAGCTGATGAAGACTTAAGAGCTTTCTCTCCAGCATCTTCTTTAATTACTGACAAATTCTTGGATGTCTTGCTWTCTTTTTCAATTCTTTCCAAAGCTTTCTTTTTTGCATATTTATTTCCTAGACCAGGTTTCAATTTGCTCAGAAGTTTGCTCTTTTTCTCCTTTTCTTTTGCTTTCATCCTTTGACGCAGTTTCTTCGACCTTCTTTCTCTCTTTCTATCAGTTTCTGTCCTTTCTGTGTCACCTTTGAGTTCGACTTMCTTCTCTTTGGTTTCCTCTGGAGCAAGCAACATAGCATCACTTACAGCCACAGGTGCTACTTCCTCCATATTGATMGCAGGTGTATTAGTCACAATTTGYACTTCAGGTTTAAGCTGTCGTACAACCAAAAAAATTAGCAAAAAAAATCTTGTCAAGCATTGAGGAACAATATTGGCATCTACTTACAGGTTTGGGTGTAAAATGAAAGTTRGAAAGAGCATCGAGTTTAGTGAAAAGTTTTTTCATAAGGTCCTTGATCTCCTTGTGTTCCTCACTTTCTTTCTCTTCTTCAGTTGTCTCCTGAGCAAAATAACATAAATAAAAGTTAACATATCACATCAATAATTGAATTATTGAATTATTAAATGCTTTAAGAATATGACTTTTGCACATAAATTTCTAAACTCCCATGACTGAATAAATATTAATGTTGGAGAGCTGAAGATTCGCTTCCTACTGCTTTCTGAGTACTGCCTGCATTAAATCTGTTGGCTGTTTTCGGTCTTGTTTAAATCAAAATGCAATACAGTTTACCTAAGCAGCTGTCATGGTAAGTGTTTTTCATTTACCTTTGCTTCAGTCTGTTTAATGTATTCCTGTTCATATATCTGGCTGAGGCTCAACTTGCTCTTCTCTTGGTCTAGTGGCAGCTTCTTCTTGTATTCAAATGGTTGAGCAACTGGCTTTTGTTTGCGCTCTACATCATCCCAMGCCTGAGTGTTCAAATCACAATTATRACATKAGTCATTATAAGAAAAATTCTGCAATGACCAGACATGAAGATTTTAATCTAATCTACCTCATCTTTTATTCTTTGTTTTATGATATCCTCCAATTCTTTTGTTGTCTCCTCAGTGATTGGTGGAGCTGACAAAAATAACAAGGTCACAAATTTTTACAACAGCACTATTCCAAAATAAAAAATGTTTTGTCAWCTCACCYACTGCWGTAGTGTGGTCAAAGTTMAGATCTTCCTCAAGTAAACTGTTCAAAGGTCTTGCAGTGCTTCCTGCTTCTCCACTCATCTGCCATGGTTTCTTTGTCAAGTTTTCRTTTTCTAGTTGTGCTATTTTCTTCTTCATCTAAAACAAACCACATTAGAATATAGAGGGCTGTAAAGAGGAATCTTTTGGGGATAATATGGGGATACATCTTCACAAATAGAAGCAGAAAAAGTTTTTTTAATCAATTCATTRCTACCTTGGCTTGATTTTCTTCATGTCGAGAGAGAGAATTGTTGTRWWCCTTRTCAAAMWTACCATCATCAGRAACTTGTTCTTCATCTTCGTCCATAATTTCACTATCATCTTTATCTTCTTCTTCATCTTCCATCATRTCATCCTCATCGCTTTCCATGTCTTCATTCTCATCACCATCATCAAGACCATCATCAAATTCATTTMTATCATCCATRTCTTTGTTCTTTGGTCTTCTGCCTTCTTCAGGAGGYTCAAAGTAATCACCYTACTTTAATTCACCTATTGCTTTTGGCTTTGATTGCTTGACCTCTCTGAAAGAAAAGAATTGTTAAATTCAAAAGAAAATTTAACAGTATTTTATAATCTAGAATCTTGTGATATTTATGATGATAATTAGACATTTATTTGGATGCAATACTTTATCTTCATTTATCAAGAAACTAGCCCTCTTAAACAATAAAAAAGATTTAGGAAGCCACAAATGCAAAATATCTGTAYGGTMCTATTGRAGTACCTTCCCATCATGTTTGCTGTATTTCCTAAAACATCCCCCCAGTCATCATCYTCCTCWTCTTCACTGCTAAAATCTCTAAAGAAATCAACTTCTTCTTCMTCTTCWTCATCATCATCATCWTCTTTCCTTTTGCTATCTCGATTTCGTTCAAATTGCTGGTCCATTTTATCAAGAAAGTCTGTCATTTCTGATAYCTTAAAAAATTTATCATCAACAACTGATCCTCTTGTGTTTTTTRSCTTTTGTTTTCCATTTAGATTTATACTTTCATCATTTTGCTTTGAGGAATCAAGCTTTTCGTTGTAATCTTTGTTGATGCCATTGTTATTATTTTCAATCTTAGTCATACTATCATCACCATCATCATCATCATCTGAAGATGATGCAGGAACCAGTTCTTTGCAAGCCTCAATATGATCTTCATCCCTTGAGTTGCCATCATAATCATCAAATTCTACATCACTGTCATCATCTGATTCAGAATCACCATATTCTAAATCTTCTGATAATAGTTTTAAATTATCTTTCAATCCTTTAATGTGCTTAAGTTGTTTTCTAAAGCCAGGTACAAGTGGGACGTTCTGTAGTTCAATTTGTTGCCATATTTGTTCATCATCAAAACCTTCTACCAAAAGCTCACAAYGAGAACAAGCACCATTCTCTTTCACTTTATTATTTTGSCTTGAAAAATCAAATAACTCTTTTAAATTCTCAATTATATCTTGCGGTAGCTGCTTTGACGGATGAAAGAACGATTCAGGCGAGGAAGAGGTAGATTTTATCCGCGAAATTAWWTCCACGAGGTCGGGTTTGGCCMCCATCTTGGATYTAAAATAATGAGGTAGCCTGGGGWTGACTTGTRWTAACACAGGAAGCCCAAAACTCACATTACATCAATAATTTTCARTTATCGATACTAAGTCTGTCCTTTCATATATTAGCAAAAATATACAAAATAGTCTKAAAAATTATGTTTTATCTAGATCCATAAAATGCCAATATACTTTGAATATAAGTAGATGTGCAAAACGTTACTTCTCTTGTAGGAAATCCCTCTTCCTTTTGTATAATTCAACAATTTTAAGATTTTCTCACGACATTATCTCGTTATATTGATTCTTGATCAAACACTTTACCCTAATCTGACTCTAATCCCATTTGTGACGATTTGCGACAGATCGATACATGTGTAGAGGTAGACTGGGCACTAGTCAATCCATGATGGCGGACGGCGCTTCGAGCGAAGATTGTGTCAAAGTGGAAGCCGACTTTGAACACCTTAAAACTAACAACTTTGACAATTCAACAATTCAAACTAACGGTAGGTATTCAAAATGCCATATTTTCTCGCTGTCGGTGGTGAAATTAGGGCCTTTTATGTGTACAGAGGCGAGTTTTTGAAGAAATTGTGACGCGCCCCGCTTCTATGCTCAAAATTATTATCTGACACAACTCTCGCCTCCAGCTGGCTGTAAACGCAAATAAATAAGTTTCAACTCCGTTGACGTTTTCTTGACACAGTCAATTCAATTCTTCGTGCTCAAGAATGTTTCAAAAAACTGCCATAATCGAAAAAATCGCTTCATAATACAAATGGAGTGAAGAAAAAAATCCAAAAACAATTGAACATTCATTTTTGTCGAACCCTAATTATCGAAAKATTCGTTCGCGAGTTTTTACTCAAACGATTCTATATTGTTATTTATTATGRGGTAAAGCTACACGTCTTGCATTTCAACTGCTTGAGTAAGTTGGTTGTCGGCAAGTTCTAGATGAATTTTCCATTCAATATTTATAAAATTCGACTTCTTCTACGATGCGTAGAAAACTTCTAGCTCAATTTTGTTTATGATAAAATCGCGTTTAGATATCATTAAGAGCTGTTTATATAAGCTGGAACTCTTGCTTCAAAATCGTTGAATAATTTCATGTATTTATTGTGATTACGGAAACAAATTATTCATCGACTAAGCTTGGGGTATTTTTTCGGTGTTTCAATTACACTTAGTTGGCCTGGGGGACGCTTGTAGCAGTTTATCACCATGATCACACGTCTACAGATTTAGACATTTTAATGAATTATTTGAAATAAAGTCAAATGAAACCTTACTAATTATGTGCTAAACAACTTCTGTGTGGTAAAGTTTAGTAAGAAAATTTCCTGTCTTCCTTTCATRTGTAAATGACTTTTCTTCCACTTTTTACACTAAGTTGATTAGGAATTGTCATGTTTTTATTTGACATTGCAATTCAGACATAGATTTATTATTAGAACACGTTTTGGGTGGAATATTTATTAATGCTGAAGATAATTCAATATAATATGTTATTGATTTAATTTCAATTCACTATGAATTAATATTTATGATCAAAAAGATGAAAAGAAAGTAATTGGTATAAAATTAATTTGATCAAGGCAAAGAAAATTTTGAAATTGAATAAAAGGAAAAAATGYAATAAAATGAACATATTTAAATCAAAAATAAGCAATAAATAWCAATTGAAGAGAAAGAAAATTAAAATTAAAAAGAGAAGATGAAGTCAAAAGGGAAAGAATGAATGCCAAAGTTCATGAATTCAAAAAGTCATTTTATGAAACAAATTCCTGCTTAAAATATGCAAGCAAGCATATTAAAGACAATTGAAAGCTGCCTWAATTTTTAAGTCTGTCAAAAATTCAGTCTAAAGCAAAAAAAAAGCACAGCTGGACTTTTAATGTAAAAGACATAAGCCAGGAAGCAACTTAATAATCATCCCTAATGAAAAGCTGCTTTGAACAGATAAGGAACAGATATTAGTTTAAGACAACTTGATTTAGATAAGAAAAAAAATTCAAATCGATCAATTTTTCCCCAGCAAAAAATAATTATGAAACATTACAATTAAAGCTTGATTTGTATTTGTAAAGAGATCAAAAATTCACCTTAAAAAGTCTTTTACAATTTCTGTATTAATTTTATAAGCTGAATTATTTACAAGTTACTTTTGTGATATGTATCTTAACGTAATGGCTTTTCAATTGAAATAGCAACACCAGATTAAAATGCGTTCTTGTGGGCGTAGAGTGGAGAGACAGTGCAAATGTTATTTGGCAAGCCCTCAGGGTGAATTATATTTTTAACAAAGAGAGCATTTGTTGTGTTTATCTTCCGTAAAGTGGAGAGTGAGGTGGGGAATAAAAAAAGTTTGTTTTTAAGACAAGCAAATAATTTGATTTTATAACTTTTAGTAAGCTTCTGTTTTTTTTGTTTTTTTTGTTTTTGTTTTTTTTTTATTGAAAAGGCAAGCATTACATTAAGTCATGAATAGTTTATCTTTTGTTGAATTAACAGAATGAATTTGAGAAAGAAGAAAGAAGAATAAAAAATTATACAACTTGGGGGAATGGAATTATGAATTAGATAAAAATAAGTGTGAAAATTAAAATAAAGATAAGGAAATAGAATATGATAATAAGTTGTTGTACTATAATGTGATCTAATAAGAATACAAAAACATGGAAATTAGATTAAAAATAAAATTGGAAATAGTTCAAAGTTAGATATAAAACATGCATGGTTGTTATATTTATCACAATATATTCCTAATTCAGGAGAACATAAGAAGATGGAGCGTGAGAGAGTTAAGAAAAAAGCTCCTGGAAAAGCTGTTATTATGACTGGTTCAACTACTAGTCCACCAACACATCACGACGACATGTCTGATGCCAAGGAATACGTTATGCAATACACAGGTAATTGCAATATATAGAAGATAGAGCATGGAGTAGTTGTCATGAGATTAGTTTTACAATCTGCTATGACCAAATTGTATTAAATACAAATTTTGTTCTTATTTTGAATTGATCATATAGCTCTGAACTATATGTTTTCATGCAAATGCGTAAATATTGGTCTTGTAAAACTTGGAGACTTTTTCTGTTGTTCTTGTCTCTTTTGTTTGCTTTTTCTTAAACTCATTTTTGTAGAGAAGAGACTCTAAAAACACCAGTGAGTGGCAATTAGTACTATTTGTGTTGAGCACTTAATACACATTACTACATTTAAACAAACAGTAATTATTATTGTTTGCATGACAGTTTTTTCATCTTTGAAAACAATGCACTAGAACTATGACGTAAGAACATACTAGGCACTCACTCCATCCATCTAGTTGTCTGTCTGTCTGACTACCCCTATCCACCTAACCAATTTGCTTATTTTCTCAGATATTTTTGCATCAGAAGGAGATTCAGCCATGTTTGATGATGAAGCTGGTGAAGTTCTCGAAAGCAGRGACACTGAAATTGTTGGRCACAGTGAAGAGACTGCACAATACGCWAAAGATGCAGGCAATGATGATAGTGATGATAGCCACTCCKATGATGGACCCCCACCGTTAGACAGCGAGGATGATTATGAGTATGATGACAGTGATCTTGGCTTTTCCCCTCCCCCCATGGGGAGRGATGGTAGCGAGGGGGAGAGGGCTCTGTCCTCATTGCAATCTTCTCCAGCTAAAAGTGTATCAAGCATTGGGAGAAGTAARGAGAAGTTGGACATACATAATGACAAGGCATCAAGACGWGATAGCTATGATAGTGATCATGGATTTCGCGAAGGACCACCGCCATTGGACAGCGAAGAGGAGAATGATGCTCCTGTGGAAAATGGTGTCAAWTCTCATTCAGATGAAGAAAATGWACAYCAKGAYAACAAAGATGAACTTAGTGAAGAAGAACAAGAGGTAGTAAAGGATAACGACGACGAATTTGAAGACGATGAGCATGCTGACTTGATTCAAGACGAAACACGTGATTCTAATGCAGATTCTAATGACGAAAACGATTCCTTAGCGAGTGATGACCTTCCGGAAGATGAACAAAGAATGCTAAATGCTCGTTCTCCTTCAGAAGACGACGAACAACAGGAGATTTCTCCAGAATCAAACGTTCAATCCCCGGAACCTGAGGATACKGAAGTTGAAGAATCTCCACCTGATGCTTCACCTTCATTATTGTCTGCCTCACCAGAACCAACACAAACTGCCCAWCAGGGRAACTTGAGTGAATCAGAAGGGTCCGAAACGGAAGAGTCATCTGAAGCAATGAGAAAGTATGARCCACCCGATATCGTCTCTGACCCCGAGGCCCCGTTACTCCTCGACAAACCACAAGATGTTGATATCCCGCTAACACCTAAGAAAAATAAATCATATCTGAAAGAAAAAGGAAATAAAGTAGAGAAAAGTGCACTTCTAATATCGGACAGCTCTGAGGATGAACAACCACTGACSCAGGAACGGAGGCTCAACTTGAGTGATAGCGAATCTGAGACTAATGAAAACGTGGAACCTGTCAAACAAGTTAAACCAGTTAGTAAGCCTGTTTCGAGAAATTCAGACTTAAAACCCACTAGAACTGTTAAAAATTCAACTTCTAGAAGAGAAGCTGCAACTCACGATGTCAAGAAAAAGGCTCCGAGTAAGCAAACAGTCGAGAATAAACCACTTAAACTCAAAGAGTCAAAAACTCGCGATTCAAAATCATCGGCACTTAAAGAAACCAATGAWGATCTTCATAATACTATTAAGGTTTCAAAAGGCACCCCAGTTGCCAAAGAAACTGACAGTCGTAGAAAGCATGCCCCAGGACTGGCTGTAAAGGATGAGAGACCGAAAACGACAAAAAAACRCTTGAATCAGCAAGGGAAGCAAGCGCCTGGGRTAGCTGTCAAAGAAGATACAACTAAGATAATAGAGAGAGACATTAGAACAGGGAAAATACGGGAAACGAAGAGTGAAGATAAAAGGATTAACACTAGTAAAGATACAAGTATGAAGAAACAGAGCAAAGAGACGCAAGCAAAACCAAAACCCACTYCAACTCAAAATCGAAAAGATGTAAAACATGAAAATGTCGTCCAAAAGAAAGAAAAAAGTCCTGTCGGTAATGGAGAAGTTAAAAAGGTCAAACAAAGGCCTAAAATATTCAAAAGTAAATACSTAGCAGTTGCTACCGAGGATGATTATGAGGACGAAGAAGAGGATATCCCGGAGCAMAAACCTGAGAAGACTAGGACCGAATCACGTGGGARACACATCGGCAAATCAAAACATGAGCCTGAGAAAAAGGATCGTCATCATGTTGTCAAGGGTAACGCACATGAACATCAAGTGAAGGGACATAAACACGAACGAAGTAAACATGTCTGGTTGTGRCGTGATGACGAGATTCATAAACTTATCGCTCAAAAGGCATCYCTTTTGAAGGAYTATGAGTCGGGCAGCCTCGCGGGAAGAAATGTCTGTAAGTTTATTTCTATTTCCCATTCATTTCAGTATTCATMCTTGCAATTCATTTAAATTCACTTATCATTATTTTTAGTTTCTGGTCAGAAAGGTCGTCATCGTAGAGACGACGAAGACAACGCTCGAAGCACGCCAGACGTCGGATTTGCGGGTAGTAGATCTAAACCTCGATCCACACGACCAGTCAGCGAAGTTTTTCCCGACAGGGAACCGTACACTTCACGAAAGCGTGAAAACCGGCGCTCGTTACAACATCGGTACTCGGGTTCATCGTCGGAAGATGACGATGAACGCACGAATAAACAAGCAGGAAATTTGAGAGCCGAGAAATCTGCTTCTGGAGGRACTTTCTCCGTCGGTATGGCGTCGAGAAACCTTACGAAACGAGACGCGGCGTCTGATTCTGACCATGAAGAAACATGTGAATATTGTGCWGCTGAAAAGGTATGTCATGTACGCTATAGTGTGGGTTTCCTGTGCAATATCGCTTCACAGGGAACCCATTATATAAAGAGGGATGCTTTCAGTTTATTACTACAACTATAAAAGCAAAAAGTGCACTTCGAAAGAGAAACGTTATATTACTGTTAGTACTAACACATAAGCGATATTATTTTGTTCTTCTCGACTATGTATTTCTTGCGGTTTCTWTCCCCAGATTAACGACCAATAATCTTGGCTTTTTGAAAATTACATATCCTATCTGATATACTTAATCAAAAAATACCATAAACCGAAGGACCTTGTGATTGATATTTATTGTTTTAGAAGGAATCTTAAACCAAAACAACCACCAATTTTTTTTTCAATTTTTGATTAGAATGTAACATGCATTTAAAATAAGTGTATCACATCTTGCTAGCTGAYTCATTGTAGTTTCACGAGCCACAACGAGATAGACTCTCTTTTCAGGGAAGAGATAYGCTCTTTACTAAAACCGCGAATCTCGCATGTACTAACAGATGCAAGCAATCTCTTTGTTTGCTGATCATCATTTTATTTGCACTATAAGTCGGCACAAGAGAGAAACGACGTTTATTACGGGCTTAATTCAATAAAATAATGACGTAATGTGACAGCGATACGTCAACGAGTGACCCAGTGTAATTGCTAWGTTATCGTCTGTTGGCACTGCCCTTATCAAATAACGAATCTTTATAAAAGATAAATGATGGATGATATAAAAAAAATTGGTGATTATATTTTTGTTGATAAACCTGTGGAACAAAGTGTAATAATATTTGATTCACGGAAAATAGAGTGCAAAACTTTCAAAATAAAGAATGTGTAGTACACTGAAGTACATTTCATGGGTTTATAATGATCAACCTAGTAATAGTTATTATAATAATTAATAATAATTAATATTATTATTATATAATTATTGTTGTTATATATACCCTTGTTGTTTTGTAAAATGCTAACTTTATTGAAACGTTTAAGGAAAAGAAACATTGCAATGTAGAAAACTACAATTGGAAAGCTATCGACGACTACAAAAAAATATAATGATATTCGTACTATATAACACTAAGATCCATCTTCGTTGGTATCATTTTTTGACCCGCCTTTATGTCTAATACAAAGTACAGCATCAGACGCGTTAGAATAACATATTGATCAGCCGTTCGATCTCGTTAATTTCACTATAATTTTATGCAACATGATCATCTTAAGGGAATTAATTATTCAGCGTTCTCATTRTTTTGAAGACTAGTCGTCTTAAGGCCCTTGATACTCAGTCCCTACTCTTGACTATGTCATACTCGTCGAAGTACAATAAGGGTTATATATGTAACAGGGCGTGGTATATGAGACAGTGGTAGTGTCGGTATCAAACCGTTTACAACCCCTGGCTTGATGCACAAACACTTCATCACTTCGTTGGCAACAGATCTCGATTTCCCGGTACATGCTCCTAAGATAAGTCTCTTTAATGTTTTTATATCATCATTGCTTATTAGCATTTCCTTTTTTACTTGACAGGCGGCACAGAAAGCTCAGGAGAGAGATTTAGGTAAGGTTATTTGAGTTTTTTTCTACATATATTCTCACTTTGCGTGATGCGGCTGGTAGTTTTGCTGCAAATTGATATTAATGCGTCTATGTTTCAAGGAATGTAATTCTATATATACTAATTCCTGCTTTCGATTCAGTTTTATTTCACTGGCTAAAAAACATTGAATTTTGGTTCCAAATTTCTTGATGAATTTTAAGAGCACTTTGATATTAATTCACTATTTCAAAGAATTTAACTATACCCCTATATTGACTGCCTCTGTTTCACTATAGACATGTTTATTTACTTGAGCTAGAGTGCATTAATTTTGTTATCAAAGTGGTTAGAATTTGTTTCCTATTTCTAAATTGCAACTAAAAAGCACAAACATTTCAATATATTTCATGTTTTTCTTGAGTTTTCCAGCGGCGATATAATTAACACTTATGCTGCTGGTCAACCTGTTTAATGTTTCATGACAAAATTCAATGGTTTCATTGTCTTCGTGTTCCGTAGACTCAATCACTTTGACAAGTAATTATTGTGTTTTTTTGCTACATGGCAACGTAACGCGCTGTCGTTAAACGCGATCTTATTCTCCGCCATTTAACTACCATCATTCGTTCCGTAAGCCATCCTTACGCCCTTACGTAACGGAACTTATGTATCTGTTTTGTAATACAAAAGAAACAAAGGCGTTATAGTACGTACTTTACAGAGAAAATCCTATACGCTGCGTTTTTTTACGTTACCGAAAAGCCTTTGTTATATTTACGGCACGGACGAACGCTAGAGAAGAAACGTATACGTAGCTTTAAATGTCTTTTCATGCTTGATTTTACGTAATGGAAAAGACCTTTGCATACGTTATTTTACGGAAATGTAAAGAAGCGTCTGCGTGCGGTTGGACGTGCGCTCTTTTGCGTTACAAAAACAAACACGTGCGACTATACCTTATATCTTTCGTAGTATAATCGTTAACTTATGCGTTATTTTCGTCGGCAAAAGAAATTTCCGCCAACATTCGCTCGTAATGCAGACCTTTTCGATGTCCATTAATATAGACCGGTCGCGGCTTTGGCTTTTGAATCTTTGTCGCATTTCGTTWCCAAATAAATTTATTCCGTACTGCAGGTACAGTTTGTGTKCTTGGCGAACATATTTGTAAGATCGGGATGAAAGTACAAAAAAAAATCAAGTATTTTATATAATGTTTCTAACTTCTTTGTTACGTGATTAAATTGGCGCGCTTTCTRGTGTATTTGTCGTGGCCAGGACAATCCCTTTGACTTGAAACGAAAACAACCATTTGGTTCGTATTTGTTGATAAACAACGAAAAGAAACAAAAGAGMTACTGAACCCAGAATTAGTCRCAAAGTCGATGTGATCATGAAAGAAAAAACGAATTATTCAGTTAGTAGTTGGTATTGGACCAAAAAAAGACTASAATAAAAGGAAACAATAGATTTAGAGTGTACTGTCAACTATTAGTCTCGCAAACCTTTCACGGTAAAAAAAACTCTCTTTCTTATGCAAACAGCCCCCTCAAAGATGTTTCTCGTGTGAGTGTAAAAGTGGTCAACCGATCTCACCGCCGGTTGTCGCTTCTTCAATAAATGTCGATCAAAAGGTCTGAATTCCGGCTTTAAAATACTATTACTGTTCATTCCAAACTCATACAAAATCCGCCCCTATTTTACTATATTTTCATTGTGCCCGAAGGGCCTAGTTAGCAAGCTCGATGCTTTTATTTTCAACGGATCTAGGGTACAAGATCTAAAGGCCCGCTAAACCGTGAAACCGTGTTTGCTCACTCCTGCATTTCACGGTTATATAAAACAGTTTCAAACTATATACGTTTAAAACAGCAATTCCGTGAAACAAAGTGCATTTGAATCATCAAGTCGAGCTTAAAGATTATAAAAAGTATTATTACCCCGAGTGTAATATTTACTTAATACGCGACAGAAATAGTTTTTAACCGGCTTATGAAAGAAAAAACACTGTAAAATGATAATTCATAGTGACAAGTCAAGACTCTCTCGGTTTCTTTGTCCGTTTTATTGATTTTAGCTGAATAATACCGAAGAAATGTTCTTTTTTTAAGGAAAATAGAGTTGTTTAAGTAAYTAGTTTTAACTTGCATTATTATTTTGGTCGGTTGCTAGGATTTCCTTTTCTCTTTTGAATTCAAAACGTTTATCAATATTTGTTTTAAGGGTATTAGGATCAAGATAAAGCAACTGATGAAGAAAGCAATATTTAGTGGACATAAGTAAAGAAAAGTGGGATTAAACAAATGAGAAGTCAACGAGTTTTTTTCTTGCTCTTTTTGTTTATGCATTTTGAAGGCTAGGAAACTAAACGAATAGCTCTTTCATGGTTTATCCATTTACCATTTTATTTATTCTTTCATTTTCTCTTTCATTTGATCAATTCATTTCCAATTTCTCGTTTCCATTTGTTCTTTGATTRATTTGCTCATTTATCATTCAACCATTCATTTATTCATATTGCATTTTTTTATCCATTTTGATTTTTTACTTGTTCGTCTCAATTATTAGCGCAACGTGAGAAGAAAGAAAATATCATGAAATGGAGCGTACTAGCAAAGTCATTATAATCGTCTCATTAATCGAGATGATCGTCTATTTATATTCCTTCTTGTCGCTTGTCTGAAAGGAAGTTCTTTAGGTTCTTAGACAGTTCCACCATTGATCGATGGCTTGTTTTTCTGCTGACATTTGATGACTCACCGATGATATCAAGACACTTAGAACAGTGTCACTTGTTACTTTAAACTCAAAACCAATCCTCTTGGTAGTTTCGTTTTGTGTATTACTCTTTTAATCATCGTAAAACTGTCTTTTTTTAATTACTAAAAGTTGTCAGGATATTTTAGAGTCGTGCCCGTTGTCAGGTTACTTCATGACCAAGCTTTGTGGATCCCGCGTCGTTGAATTGTGTAACATTGCCAAGTAAATGAAGCTGTATTTTAGTATTATTAGGTCTTATTATTTGTTTCTCTTTTAAAGTTGCCTCAAGTTTTTCAGTCTGTGACTGGAAGAAAGTTGTACCCAATCCCCAGTCGCTCTCGGTCATATTTTTTTCGACTAGACCTTCTCACTCGTTTTTTTCAAAGCAGCAAAAAGAAAAGTAAAAGTCGCTCTGATATTTTCATTTTTCTCTTAACTTGTTGTTCGTTTCATTTGTCTTAAAAGGTTCAAAGTGTTATCTAAACATTACCGGCTGTTCTCATTGCATACTGTAATTTTCTTGGCGTATAATTTGGCCTATTATACATGTTTRATGTGCTCAATTGATTACCATTCCTGCCTTCTTGGCTGGCAAGTTTCCAGTTATACTCCAAATACTAAACCTTATCAGATTAAGATATTGAAATTCGTCCTTGCTAACGTAAACCCACTCGTWAGACACTCAAAACGAGCGCAGAACTCGTAGGCCGGCGTTAAATATATGGTGTAGATACTATTTTTGAGTTTAATATTTGTGTCCGTGACGGTTCTCAAGAAACCGAGCGCAATCAAATTCAGAAAATTGTCGCGCGCGGCGCCCTTTTGCTGCCGTRTCTTGTTACATCCAATTTGACAAACTAAGACATCAAATTTCTCTTTCACGTGCTCGTAGCAGCCGTAGCAGTGGTAATGAGCAAGTTGATTTGTTGATCTAAAGTCCCAGCTGCTGTTGCTGTCARTTTTGAGCTCCTCGTCCACTGCTGTGTTTATTCGTCGTTACCATAGCAACATCCAGCAGAGTCGTTGTGACGTCATCTATTCTGAAAGTGACAGTTTTCACTAGTTGAGATTAGTAGCCTCAAACACTAAAAACCAAACAAGATGAATATGAGTTAAGACTAACAGTGGGAAGCCATGTTTGGGTCATATATGCATAAAATTCAGCCGTCGTCTGAATGATTGTAAACCTAGGCCTATTAGGTTGAGCCTATGAATGTTTTATGATTACCTAATTTTCTTGGAGATAAATAGCTTGATCGAGTCAGGCTATTCAGTCCACGATGTCTTTTCTCTGTAGTATTCGCCCACGTTTTCTTTTTGGAGTTTTTCTGTTTGCTTCGKCGATCAATTGTTTTCCGCTATCTGAGAGAGTAAGCCGTTCTTATGACAGTTGAGGGGACGTTGGTCGGGATGCAGGAGTCCGATGGCTCTGACTACGATTCTGATGAGTTCATAGAGTATGATGAAAACAGTATTCCTGAAGTGAAACTCTTTCACAAGTTTTGTCGACCTTTAAAGGAAAGTCCGTTGCCAGTCGGTGAGAAGTTCGGCACCGTAGAAAAGTGTGAAGTTTAACGTTACAGCGTGTGAAGGCTTAGGATGTTATCTAGATTTTGTCATGTTAATTGTACTATAAGTGTGTATAATAGAAGACTTCTAATTTGTGTTTGACAGCCATCTTGCTCGTTGTGTAAATGCTAATTTTTTTTTTGTTTTTGTTTGATTTTCTTCAGCATGGGAAGGCCCACACCATCCAAGAAACCTTCTCCTTGGAGTRGTCTACACAGCAAAGGTACGTTAATTTTAATGATTGCTTGCGGTTTGAGGTCTAATTGAATAGTTCATCACTTCATTTAACTGAAGGAAAATTTGTCTTTGGTTTCAAAAATTCGGCTTTGTCTCGTGATGTGGAAGCCGAGTTCCTGCGGTAGAATTTCGTACCGAATGTTATAATTTTTTTTCGAGAGCATCCCATAAACTATTAGAATCATATTGGTCCTTAGATTTAAATCAAATAGACTTTTCATTTCGTACTGCAGTTTTACTATAAGGACTCGATGTTTTTACAAATTTATTTTCGTACGAATAACATGTACTTTGCGTTTTTTGATTTATTAAAAGAAATCATTGCTTTTATGCCTGAGGCGAAAAAACTCTTTCTCATCACAAAAACCAGCTTTACATTGAACAGTTTGACCGAGGTCCRCATATTGTACCAACCAAGCCGGAGTATGAACAAAACAAAAAGGTCAAAATAAATATTTAAAGCAAACTAACGACAATTGGCTAAGCTTTCTTGATTTCTCGATAAATAAGACTTTTTTAAAAACGTTTGTTTGAATTATTCGCAAGACGCGGTAATACATATAGCCTAAAGCATGCATCATGCTTTGTACYCTTGCAATATAGTTAAGTACTCGTGGTTGGTAGTGACCGGTCTATATCCATGTATATAGCACTCTCTTAAATTACATATGATCCATATTTGGTAGTTTATTTGTTTATTGACATTATACTCGTCTCTTAAGATCTCAATAATGTACAATTGTCAGTTCATATATGTTAAATTTCGTTGTGAAAAACGTACTTTTTGTTTTCAAATTTGTCTTTGTTTAATAATGTACGATTTTAACTACATATATTTATGTTATATTTTGAAATTGAGTGCATTTTATTTATTAATGAACAATATTCTACTCCATTTACTTCCGAATTTTCCTTTCAAATAAATGTTACATAATCATTGTATATTCATACTCGTTTTAATAATTCATTWTTTCGTTTTGTATTTTGTATAGTTTTTTTCGAGAAATTTTCTTTAAGAATTGTAAAAAATTGTTTCAAAATAAGAAGGTGAATGAGATAAAATAGTTTTATTTATTTTTCRATCGTTAACCAATGGTTTCTAATTTTTTTGGGATATTTTCATTTTCTTATCTCTTTATTTATATTACMTATTTTTCTTAGTTTTCATTAAAAAAATTTGTAAGATAATGTCTTTTTTATATTAGTACGTCCTTCAGTAAGAGTGATTATATTGCTTTGCTATAATTTGAACTTTAAAATTTTTGTTTTAATCCTCGCAAAGGTTTTTTTCCATACTTAGAGTTTGAAACGTTTTTTTTTTGCGTTATTTGTCTTCCATCAAGTGCTATAATGAATGAATTGTCATGTTTTCCTACCGTCCTTCGGTACTCATTCGAGTGCATTAATCTTTGTCTTAGCTTAATCCTTAATCCCTGCCAGTTGTAATGCGGTTTTGGCTTAAAATATTGCTAAACCAGATAAAAGCATTTATTGTATAAAAAGATGAAACGAAATCATCATTTTTTGTCGTTATTATAACCATAAACATGTCGTAATCAAACATATTTTTTGGCTCCTTTATGATCTTCACCAATAATTCAAAATTGCTTGTGGATCGAGGCTAAACAAGGCAAATCATTTTTTTTTTTCCTCGTGTATTCATAGATTATTTTTGGAATATAAAATGTTTGTCATGTTTCGTTACCGTGATCATATTTACTTTCGTCAGGAAAAGTACAGTTTATTATTATCGAAAATATACAGTACTCTCAAGACAGGTGTTAGGCGAGATCCGAAAACGCACGCCCGAACGTCTTTATGGGTATTTTTTATTAATGTAAAAAACGACATATTCAAAGCAGTAACATTGCTTTCATTAAAGATTGTTYATCATAGTTTGTTTGCTGTTTCGCGATATTCGAGATAGTCGAGATAGTAAGCATAACGCATCAAAAATTGAATCCCAAAAATGACGCACGGTCGTATGTCCTCATACAACAAATTTTAGAAAAGAGAATTAGAATTCTGTGCGTGCTAATCCAGCAAGGTGATCATAATCCTGTCAACTTTAAGCTTTATTATGAATTTCATCAATGAATGTGCTTTGTAAGAGCTGATTCAAACGCAAAAACTCATCAGGACGAATAATTGTTGTTATTGTTGTTCAAGTGAGCAATACGTACCGCCAATTCTCATTATATTGTGAAGTGAGTGGAAAATTACCGGTGAGATTTCCAGTGGTTAATGGTATTAAAGTTTCTATTGTCTACTAATCTTTAGGATAAGAGGTGATTGAACGCGTTAATGAATCCACTAGTTAATGAATGAATGAAAAAAAACTGAGGAAATATACCGAAAAAAACGGAATGAAACCAAATATTTAATGGAAAACACACTTAAAAACACTGCAATTGATATACTGTGATATAAAAAATGGGAAATAAATAAACAAATGGATGAATAAATYGAAAGTGGATAGAAAAATGAGTAAATAACTGACTGAACTAACTGTAAACGTGACCTTCAAATGAGGTATTATCAGTAGACTGGTGAACGTGACTTATATATGTGAAAAACAACTAGGAATAGACCGAACTTCTGAACACCAACACTACCGATGCCTTTTTACAAAGCAAACGGCCAACAGCTGGTAAACTTCATTTTCGCTCACCCTTGAGTTTGCCGCTGCGATAAAAAAGGTTTTCGAATTAAGTGTCCGGCATGCAGTACCAAAATAAGTTTATTAGCTTTTAAAGTCGCATGTTTTTAAGGGTTTCGGAGCGGTAATAGCGGGCATTACCTTTTGTTAAATACATCGGGGAATAGAATTCATTCCGACTCAAAAACCTCACGCAGAGATATCGATAAGGAAGGAAAAAAGCTCAATAGCTGAAATACCGTTCCTGCTGTGAACCGCGTAGCTTTTAGGGTGATATAGTCCGCAAAGAGCTGTGTTAATAGGAAATGTTTAATAGGAAAAGTTTAATTCGAGGGATTTGTGTAAGGAACCAATTTCACATCGTAATTGCTTCTAAGCGTAATTTGATTTCACGAAAGAGTCTATGAATAAACATTGACTGAAATCCAATTAACAATGAGAATGGATAAATGAATAAATCAACCGAATAAATGGGAAAAATGGATGGGTAGGAAAAGGAAAGGAAGGAATGGATCTATGAATTAATTAATTATTTAAATGAATGGATGAATAAAGTTATAGATAAATAATTAGAAGAAGGAATGGATACAATAATAAACAGATGGAAGAAGAAATGGATAGGAAATGAATGAGTGATTGATTGATTGACTGAAGGMAATATTATGGAACTATAAGCGCATTCAAGAAAGAAGAATTGAATTAATTTTCCAAGCAAATAACTTTTTTTAATTATTTTTTAGTATTTAGGATCTTCACAAATAATGTCGCCTCAATCTCCTGACCGGAACGTCCGTATGCAGCAAGCACAGGAAGCAGTAGGACGAATTAAGGTACATGACACAATGTATTTTATCCCATTCTCTTCCTATTTTCCCTTTCATTCATATTTTCATTTCATTTCATCAGGTTCCTGAAGGTGAGGACCAGCCCACAACGGACGTCGATTTATTTATATCCACCGAGAGAATAAAAGTTGTCAACTCGTCAAATAAAGTAGGTGTTAATCTTAGTGGTGGCCTCCTGATGAAAAGCATATCGTATTTATCCTAGAATTTAATTGCCCCATTTCACTATGACGTCACAGAATGTTAACATGGGGGCACAATGTCGTTCTATCGTTTTTTACTTGTTTTTTATTCTGCCTTATAATCATAATATTTTCTTTGGCGTCATAGAGAAAGAGGTCAATTGATTAACTTATAGATCTATGTCCTGAACTCGGTATGAAATARGCGTCTTTTTGTCCACTTTTGACACCTTGTTTTACCCCCCAGGACATTATGATGGACCACGCCCTCCGTACTGTATCATTTATCGCAGACATCGGTGATGTTCTCGTACTAATGGCTCGCCGACCACCCGGTAACAATGAGAACGTACTGGAGACCAAGCCCTCGGCTTCACAGATCCTCGCTAGTGTAGCTAAAGCAGAGACTGACCCTAAGATGATTAAAATCACATGTCACGTGTTTCAGGCACCGGAGGTACGTGACTTCAGAGGAACTTTGTTTGTACAGACATCGACTAGTGGTCGATTTCTGTATGAAAGACAAACTACTTGTAGTAATAAGCTGTAATCGTTCTTGACAACATGTCTATTAACAGTAAACAATCGGACGGACACAGTGTACAGGCACAGTGTTATTACAGACAGTTAATAACATCCCCGATCGAAAAATAATAATAATAAAAACCTATTACTGCTAGACCTGCGAACACTTAATTACGGTCCACAGTATGTCCGCCATGACAAGCGTTGATACATGCTCAAGACGTCGGGACAGATATTGATATATGAAATCGTTGTTCTTACACCAGGCGCAGATAATTGCTAAAAGTATCGGCCAAGCGTTCAATGTGGCATACCAAGAGTTTCTACGTACGAATGGAATATCAGAGGACAGTATAGAAGATGCCGAATATAACTGTGTCTTGGAAGCACAGAAGATTTTAGGCGAGGATTTGAGCCTTCTTTCAGATGCTAGCAAGTCGAGAGAGGTAGCTAATTGATGTTGAGTGTTGACGAAGATAATCATAGTAATGAGATCGTGATGATGATGATGGTGATGATGATGGTGATGATGGTGATGATGATGGTGATGGTGATGATGGTGATGATGGTGATGGTGATGGTGATGATGGTGATGATGATGGTGATGATGGTGATGATGATGATGGTGATGATGATGGTGATGATGGTGATGATGATGGTGATGGTGATGATGGTGATGATGGTGATGGTGATGATGGTGATGGTGATGATGATGGTGATGATGATGGTGGTGATGATGATGATGATGATGATGGTGATGATGATGATGATGATGATGGTGATAATGATGATGATGGTGATGATGATGATGATGGTGATGATGATGGTGATGATGATGATGCTGATGAAAATGATAAATTTGAAAATTGAAGAATGGGCATTGGTGTGTCATTCATATTTGGCAGTGTTGTGTGATCAAGCATTTCTTGTTTGATGATTATAATGGTACTAACACTTCTCTTCGCCATGTTTCATCAGGTTGTTGTCAATAAGAAGCCAGGCGAGTCCCTCGGTGTTATGATTGTTGAGTCGGGCTGGGGGTCAATGATTCCAACGGCTATCATAGCTCACCTTGCTAAAGAAGGACCTGCGGCTAAATCTGGACGCTTGAATGTTGGTGACCAGATTRTATCTGTCAATAACACTAGTTTAGTTGGCTTACCATTACCAGAATGTCAAACTATTATCAAAGTAAGTTGTTAATCATAAATTGTCTTTTTCTTGTGTTTTATCATCAAATTCTTAAATGTTTCTTTTTATTTTCCACAAAGAATTCTCGTCCGGGAACTAAAGTTGTAATGAAGGTGGTGTCTTGTCCACCAACTGTCCAGGTAGTCGTGAACKGACCAGATACAAAGTACCAGTTAGGATTCAGTGTCCAGAATGGCATGGTATGTTTTTGACGATCATATCTTCGTTTTTGTTTTGTCATATGCTGTTTTTTGTGATCATATGTTCTTCTTTTGTGATCAAATGTTCTTTCAACCTTTCCAGATCTGTAGCTTGATGCGAGGCAGTATAGCAGAACGCGGTGGTGTTCGGGTTGGACATCGAATCATTGAAATAAACAATGAAAGTGTTGTTGCTACTTCACATCAACATATAGTTGATCTCCTGGCGTCGACGACAGGCGAGGTATGTATGGGATTCCTGTATGTAGCTCTTCAGTAGAAGAGGTCGATAAGGTTCATGTTCATGATAATCTAGTGTGTTAAAATACCATCCCTCGTTTAGCTAGGGGTTTGTATAAAAGTTAATGATAGTATATYGCTAGTATTGTCTTTGGACCGTTTGCTTACTGCCCTCAATGCCTTGTGTTTTCTGTGGAGGCCTGTTTGTCCAGAGATTAATGCGATTCTTTTTTCTATTGTAGATTCGAATGAAGACGATGCCAGCGTCAATGTACCGTCTTCTGGTCGGCTTGGATACACCGCAGTATATTTAGGTCCTCGACTCAATGATACAATGATCCCCTTTCGACTCACACTGGTGAAATACCTGATACCGAGGCTCGTTGGGGAAGCGATCTCTGTAGATATACCAACAGTGCCAAAGTTCGCTTTTAAATAAATTAGTGGGAGCACTAAAATGCAGTGTTCAATAGACTCCCATTTGAATTATCAAGAGTGCTTACAATAACAAGAAATAACAAGATACGCATGCGTTGCTTTGATGGAGCTATGACAACACCTACGTCAAAATCCGTAACTATGGCAACAATGATGTCACATTTATCTCCATGGCAGCACGAGGAAAAACTTATTGAAGTCTGCWAGCAGGACATCAACTGAATCACTCACCATGGCAACAGCTACGTCAGATTTGTTACCATGACAATGTGAAGTTACCATGGTGACACGTAATTGTGATGTTTTTACTCTATTTTTATGATACGCTTGCTTTGTGTGCGTTGAGATTGCCACCACAGGCGCTCTGTTTGTATTTCCTAACAGCATTAATGGAAATTTTACAGTAACTGATCTCGACAAAATATTTTACTCTTCTTAAATCCTTGATAATCATTTCTGAAACACAAAGAGTAATAGACAATGAAGAAAATCAAAGAAAGATTTTCAGTTGTGGGAAATATTTGTACATAAGTAAACCATTAAGGCCGTGAAACATTACTAGCCGATACAAAATAGCATCAATTATAGTGGTTTACGTAAACCCGTCGTAATGATCATGAAAKAATAGAAATGTGATAGTGCTATACAGAGTTTATTTCTTATAAACCGTGAAAAGACTCTGTAAAAACTGCACAAAATTGCGCTTATTAGAAGACAAACAATTTGAACTAATTTGCATGCAATTTTTTTTAGCAACCTGTAGTTGAAAGTATTTTATAGGAGTAATGTTTCACGCTTTGTTTTTTTTTTAAATTATACCGAAAGATTATTTATAATAGGATGAAATATAGTATATGTTGAATAAAGATGACCCGACAGGATGAGATTATGATAGTTTCGAGAAATAACATTATTTTCGCCATCTTGGAACTGCAGCCTYGCCTTGGGCCGCCATTTTGTACAGTAATGATACGTTAACTAGTGGATATTTAGAATTGTAACAGCCTTGAATGGCCTTTAACCAGGTTTTTCTTGTTCAAATATGAGTCAAACTCTGAATAACTTAAATAAAACTAGTATTTTAATTTTAACGTGGTATAGTTATTTCGCGCATATTTTTATGGTTTTGTAAACTTTAAGTGATATCTAAACCATTTTACTCTCATATTAGATGACTAATAGGTATATYTGACCATAACGTTAATCCAGTGTTAGTTGGCTTGGTGTTTCTGATGAAACAGTTACGATAAAAGGACAAATTACACCGCAAAAGGTGCAAAACGTCCTGATGAAGAACGAACGTCCAGATCGCGAGTTAGTTTTCAGTATCTTCTATAGTATTCGTCGTTTTATCGAGAATAACGAAATTCCAAATAGTATGAATATTATTTATTATAATAATAAAGTTTGATAAACAACGGTGACTACTTCGATTATACGGCGCGCCCGTAGAGAATATATGAAGGTTTTTTACGTGGATTTTGGCGTTGATTACTGAAATCATCAGAAATCAACAAGATTGAATCGAAATCATTAACAAAAGAAAAATCACGAAAACGCATCATTCCCAAGTACGCATCCAGTACAGCATGAAACAGCTGACCACAAGGATCGTATTTGCCACACTATCGGGCGAGCCACCGGAAGGACTCGTGGTAGTGAGTGGTTCGGTCCTTTTCACTAGCCAATCATAAGTCTCCATTAAGTTTTGCTCTTTCATCATAGCGCCTACCCTCTCTCGCGCCAACTTGTGGTGATAATTAACATAATCCAACTGAAAAGACAAACACTGTGGTGAGGGGTAGGGTGGGGCTAACTYAATGACAACATTACGGTGGGGGGTAGGGTGGGGCTAACTAAATGACAACATTACGGTGGGGGGTAGGGTGGGGCTAACTAAATGACAACATTACGGTGGGGGGTAMGGTGGGGCTAACTYAARGACAACATTACGGTGGGGGGTATGGTGGGGCTAACGGACGGTGAGGGGTAGGGAGAGTAATTTGTCACCTCTTTCTTGGTCAACATGTCTACTATGATCATRTTGCGTTCGAAGGGCGTCTGAAAGAGAGTAAAAAAAGCTTAGCAATGTTATTYAATCAATTTCTATATGAGAAGAACGGAATGCTGTGAGTATTAGTAGTCAGTATTGCCGGCTTTTATGAATAACATTTCAAGTATAGCCAAAATGTCAGTTTACGAGCACCAGGTCGGCCCAACAGAGCGAGTGCATATCAAAGATWTTAACGACAAAAGCTTACCAAGTTGGCTGCTTCAAATGTGATCATGTACTGTCTGGGGAAAACACTCTAGAAAGAAAACAAAACTCTTGGTTATGGCTGTTGATTCAACATTTGTTTGTTTGTTTCGTTGTCGTTTTGTTTGGTACCTTTTTTTATTTCTTCGTTTATTTTCTTTCCATACTTTTGTTTTGATCAACTAACCTTCACTTTTGCCGGGACAGCCAGCATAACCGTTTCTATTCGAATACCGTAGCTTCCAGTTTTATAGTAACCAGGCTCTTGGTGGTCAAAAAAAGATAAAATAAATCATTGAACTTAAAATCAAATTTGTATAAAACGAGGTTGCTTACCATCAGATGTAAACATCCCCGGTACTATCGGCTTTTCAGCACTTCTCGGACAACCCGGTCCTATGGCCTGCGGACCTGAAACAAGTCATTGATTTCAGAAAGAATTTCYAACGTTTGYTCGTTCGATAATCCAACTGTACCCTCGTGAACACCGAGGAACATTCCAATCCCGTGTCCAGTTCCATGACGATAGTCCAGACCTCCTCTCCATAGCTGTTGGCGAGCAAAGACATCCAGAATGCGTCCTATAAAAAAATATTATTTATGATATAATATGTACAGAATCAACGTCATCATCATCATCATCTACACTGTCATCATCGCCATCATCGTTAGAACTGTTATATATTGAACAGTTATGTAAAAAGATAAATTTAACACCGTAAAAAAAGTATGTGAAATAACTTACTGACGTTTCGGACGTTAATCCTTCGTCACTTTTACTCCGACGAAGGATTAACGTCCGAAACGTCAGTAAGTTATTTCACATACTTTTTTTACGGTGTTAAATTTATCTTTTTARARAACTGTTTCTTTAGAAACACCGACGCAGCTCACACTAGTTTACCGCTAGTTCCCACCATTTTGTTATATATTGATATAGTACTTGGTGAGGTTCGCGCAGAAGAGTGAACTTAAAGATAATATTCCATTATTATAATCATTATAATCATCATCACAATCCATCCATACCTTTTGTATTATTGGTCCATACTGCGGTCCCTAGCTGTATATTCGCCTTGAGTACGCGCGTGTACGCGACCTGTAGAAGAAATACTTAATTTGACAATTATATTCACTAAAGTCGAGACTAAATGAGAAAACGATCCACTCGATGTTGAGTCTTTATGATGTGTCATGGTAGATTGTCATACCTTTTGTTCGTGGGTTGGACTACCAAAATGAAATGTACGAGTTGTGTCACATGTACCATCCCTGAAGTATTAGATACACGTTATTTTCACTATCAAAAAAGTTAGACTCCTGTACGTACATATATGTGTGTCTTATCAGGAATATAGCGAGAATTAGTGTTCTAATGACCAATAAGAACAAGTGTTCTAATGACCAATAGGAACTAGTGCTCTAACGACCAATAGGAACAAGTGTTCTAATGACCAATAGGAACAAGTGTACTAACGACCAATAGGAACAAGCGTTCTAATGACCAATAGGAACAAGTGCTCTAACGACCAATAGGAACAAGTGTTCTAACGACCAATAGGAACAAGTGTACTAACGACCAATAGGAACAAGCGTTCTAAAAACCTACTTGTACTGTGAGCCTGTATCAACGAGCAATGTACTGTCGGTAGATATTTGACGATCGGACCATTTGCTTGGCCTACAATAATAAATCAAGAGTTGAAGATAAAATATTTCTCTGTAGAGGAGGTACTAAGGAGGGCGTACTTACGAATAATGAATAATGGCACCATTAGGTCCATACCCAAAGATACTGAAAAAGCTAGGACCAACATAATCTGCCTGCTTACTGAAGAAGAACAATATTGATATCATTGTGATCATGCACTTCATTATTTATTATCCATTATCTGACATTACCTTTTGAATTCTTCTAGTTTCGCCGATGCTGTGAGTTCTGTGAGGTCTTTACGCCCTTTGGGCACCTACAATGAATAAACACCACCCCCACCCCGACAGGTTATTATTGTAGCTTAATCATRAATGCCTGTCTTCTTGCGCATGACATTACCCTGTAAAAACGCTGAATAATATCTCACCTCTTTTTCCATCCACTCYACAAATTGGCATATTGCTAAGGCGTCTTTCAGCTGTCAATCAACAGCAGGGTTATATTAGGAAATCTAAACACCCACCCCTCCCCCATACGTTTCACGTTAATCGAGCAGAGACTCCTATGATTTACATTCGTATGACTTACGTTTGCTTTTTTCATTCCCTCGATTTCTACCTCGTTCTTGATAGATTTAGGAAGGCTCACAGGTGAAAGGACTTCAATCAAAAGCTTGGTCTTGAAAAGCAAAACAAGAGTCATTGGGTAGCACTGCTACAACTATTTTAACTGAGTTTTTTTTGGACAGACAGGAACATGTACGACGCAATTTACTGTTGGTCAGCGTTATTCATCAGAAACTTCCGAGCATGCGCTGTTCCTTACAACAAATTTTTTTTCGTTGTTGCATGAATACATACCTCATTGACGTTCATGGTCATGGCGTAATTTCCTCTGTCAACAATCTGTACCAATTATAACAACAACAAAATATTAAGAAATATATGTACCATAAGATCTGCAGGATCATTGCGTGCACCTTTTACAGGTTGGATGGTAATATTGTACAATATTACTTATCAGGTTTAACAATTGAAAGAACTGAAACATCTTGTTTTCCAGATAAAATTAGATGGAGTGACGCACCCATAGTTTTGAAGATTCCGATTTCGCTTCATCTTCAATGCCATCGAGTATTTTTGAATAATTTTCCAGTTTTACACACACTGAGCTGCAATCGTCTGTTTGTAAGTGRTTGCGCACTTCAGGAGTTATTTTCTTTAAATCAACGTAAAGTCTGAAAATATGATAAAAAAAAGGTTAGAAGCTGATGATTATCAATACAGCCACTTTCGTGGAATTTCATTATTTTCAGTACATTTCCAACATATTCTACATTTCGTGATTTTACAATATTGATTTCGTGATTTTGCAGTTTTACCGTTTCGTGAACTTACGTAATTTGATTTATAGTCACAATTGAGTATGACATAAATACTGGAGTATAAGGAACATCAGATCCACGAATATTGAAAAGCCCTGCAATGAAAACACGAATCATACATTGGAATGATATTTGATGAAATTTCATGGTATATTATATTTCGATGGACTTACACGCAATTTCATCTAGTTGATACAGAACCACTGCCGTTGCTTTTTTAGATTTCATTGTTTCGCGCATATCTTTGACTTTGTCCTGCCATTTTTTRCCTAAAATGGAATTTGTAGTYTTGTGCATGTTCGTTTAGATGGTTTGGTGTGAAAAATGCACATTTCCGAATAACAAACGAAKKAAGGACGAATAAACYAATAWGTGACGAACAAAGGACGAATGAGTGACGAACAAAGGACGAATGAACGAACGAGTGGCGAGCAAAGGACGAATGAGTGGACGAATAAAGGATGAATGAACGAATTTGTGARAAACAGAGGACTAGTGAACGAACGGGTGCACGAAGAAAAGAAGAMTWAATACAACGAGCAAATGGAATTAAGGACGAACGAAAAAACGTTGAGCGAACGAACCTGCGAATTTGAGGCTCAGAATGAAAACCGTTGCATTTGGATATGGAGGCTGGCTGGTCCATATTTTGTCCACYAGGTTGTCAAGAACAGTTTTGAGTACGATATCACTTTTTGCTAATGTCTTAGAAAACAATGATTCAGTCGTGAACAATGGCATRGAGTAATGAACATGATTATTTTACCAATAATTATGATAATGATGAATAAATCCTTTAAAAATGATGACAATGATGACGATAATAATGATTTATATTGATGATAATAATGATGATGTTGAAATTACAGTCAATTCCTTACCGTCTCCATGCTTTTAAAAACATCTACAATTCAAATACATTATATTCAGGTACGTACGTTGATATCTCAAATCTGCGCTTGAGTTTTCTTTTCAAAACAGACAAGCACTTTTAATATTTTACAAAAGAATTACAAAAACGCGGATTGCTCAAGTACAATGTACGAGACCTACATTCCCATGATGCTATATTACGATAAAATGCCATCACTGACTTTTGCGTTCATTATTATGAGCCATGCATATCGATGATACTGGTATTACAACAACATACGGCACTTACTTCTACTTATAAGAAACGGATCGACACCAACAACGTCGTTTTTCTTTAATCTCTAAATACACAAATCAGTCTATTAAAGGAAATATTTCACGTTTGATTCACGATTATTTCACTCCATTCAAACTCATTTCACTTCACATGAAACAAACCTGTGATAYCCATGTAGTCCTGCTTGGTGTCCCCGCTGTACCTATCAAAAAAGAWCAAATTACTCTTTAGATAAATAATAGTAAAATTTGCTATGCTATTTCCAACTTCCAGTAGTTGCCGTTGTCTGTGTGTTCTTTGATCTGCGTAATCGGATTCAATGACTGAAAATTTCGACACAGGATACCCGTCCGCATACATAATGGCCTTTTTGAAACTCGCCAAAAGAATAGCTAGTCCAAAACAGACACCATCACAACATATTGAAATGATTGTCTTACTTCCTTTCATGAGAACCCAGTTCGAATCCATCTCCATAACGGCTTGTTCGTAGTAACGGCCGTCCGTCCAGAGAGCTGCATCAGTCATCGTTACTACAGCATTGCCTGAAAGGTTGATGATTGATTGGTTGATTGGTTGATTGATTGATTGGTTGGTTGATTGGTTGATTGATTGATTGATTTGTTGGTTGGTTGATTGATTGGTTGATTTGTTGGTTGGTTGATTGATTGGTTGATTGATTGGTTGGTTGATTGGTTGGTTGATTGGTTGATTGATTGATTTGTTGGTTGGTTGATTGATTGGTTGATTGATTGGTTGGTTGATTGATGGGTCGATTGATTGATGGGTTTGTTGATTGATTGATTGATTGATTGGTTGATTGATTGATTGATTGGTTGATTGGTTGATTGGTTGGTTGATTGGTTGATTGATGGATTGATTCAATATACCTGCAGATCCAGTAAATCCAGATATGTACTCTCTTCTTTTATCATGCATCGCAGTGTACTCGCTCTGAAAAGAACAACAAACTCACTGCTTACTGATCAAACCTTTATAACATCTGCATATACATGCCGTTCCCATATCACAGCCATCAACCATCAATAGGCACAGAAACGCCCATGCAAATAATTGTTCGTAAACATGGACTAAATATGTCTCAGTCCACATGATCGTTTTCAGATGTCTTTCAATAAAAGTTTTCACAAAAATAGCCGTTTCAGGGTGGGTGGGGTGGGTGGGGGGATTGTGTTGCGCATGTGAATGGCTCTATTGATGCATGCAGCATATGATTTTGTGCCAAGRGGAGCTTACCTGGTGCGCGTCCACGGAAAAAATAATGTACGCAGAAAGATTGAGAGCCTTCATTTCGGCTCGCAATGCTGCTAAGCGTCGAGTTGTGTTGGTCTTCTTCATTGACTTATCCTAAAAACAAAATCACCACACATGTTATATTAACGAGCTATCTATGGGTTTKGCGTCTCTAACAGCTTTTCGTTTCATTCTTATTGCGCGCCAATTCTGAATCTCCTCACTTCTCGGCCGTCTGATAAGACTGCAAAAGACAGCATTTAACACCTAAAATATAATGTGATTGATCAAAAACATCGAGAAACGGCGCTAAATTCTTCGAGATAAGCAAATTTAGTTTACAGTTGTTTGTGATTATTTTTTCAAGTGTTATTTTCATGATAAGGAAAACGCGATAACATTGCAAAACMCGTAGATTAACAGATTCGATTTTCACTGATCTTTCCGACAAAGGCAAGYTCGCAAATAATGTTTTTACCTCGGCGTCACGACGTTCTAGGGATCGGGAGGAGCTGGAATCGATGAACGCTAAATAAACTTAAAAAAAAATAAACAACCCAAAATGTTAATGGATGGTTGATATAAAAAAGGTAAAAAATAATAATGAGAAGTGTAAATACTTGAAGTCATGAAAATAAATATAAAAACATAGACAACAAACAAACAATACACGGCAAAAAGAAATAGAAATGAAAAAAAGAGAGTTAGAAGGAATTAAAAGAAAGGAATTTTTAGAGACAATGGTATATCCTGTGATCCAAATCTAAAACAGGTGTTTTGATCCCGATAGCATTTCTTCTTAATATGTTTTATCTAATTAGCAAATATAGTTACAGGATTTAGCGATGCTTATATTCGCGATACTCTTATGTCAATATCAATCGACAGGACTGCAAGACAGACCTAAAATGATCTTGTTAGCGAAATGTACAATTAATTTCCCCTTCTGACTTTTATTTTCCCGTTAGAGTTAATTTATTCCGTCTTTTTAATGAAGGGCTATTTATTAAGAGTTTCTGTTTTGATCATCAGTGACATGAGAACATGTGATCCTTCGCTAAAAATCACTATGATATGGTAGTATGTATTTAATCAGTTTAACAGTATGTGACCCTTGCACATGACCTTCTCGTTGCATAACTATAAAGTAGCTTCCGCGAGGAAAGATTATTTTTTCCAATGTTAGAAAAATATCTGTGAACAGGAGAAAAAAAGTACATACGACGTCTTAGAAAATAAGTGTTGATTCTTTATGAAGTCAATAAATGGAAGAGTAGTGAATGAATTCGCTCATTTCAATGTTGCGTCTAGTCATTGTGTTATGGAAGTGCAATCTTACACTGATATGCTAATGTTCACTCCAAGGCGGAGGGTTTCTTTAGATGCACAAACATAAACATGAAGACAACTACAGGACATCGCATATTAACACCCCGTAGATAGTGTTCATGAAAACATTTGTGAAAACTTTTAATAAGATTGAACACAGACACAATGTTGAAATATAGTAGTGTTTTACCATTCAATTATTTATTTGATAATTAGAATCAAGGCATATGTAATCAAGGCAATAATCATCTTAGACTTCATAGACACTTTTAAGATTGGAAACACTAACTTTATTGTAATGTCTTTCAGCGCGTCGACAATCACCATCACCGCGCGTTAATTATCAATGAAAAATGACCTTAGTTCTGTAAAATCGCATAGATCACACTATTTTTTATTCCCAATATAGTTTACTGTAAATTGCTGGGGTAGCTGGTCGAAATATAAGTTTATTTATGTCGAACGTTATGTTGTTAGAGTTGACATTAGTTATGTGATGTTTAGAGTTYTAAATAACAAGGACAACTGAATCACAAACAGAATTTCCTCAAGAGCAAGGCAGAAATCGCAAAGGTAATACGCTTGTCAGTCTATCCCCGTACTTATAAGTGGTGATCTTCACCCAACTGTAAAAAAGTAATTGAAACCATAAGACTCGAATTCTTTTCTTTTCTTTTGTTTAAAACTGTTAGTAATCTGRATGTCACACTTGGATGGAAATCACTTCATGTGCAGTAGTCAAAGCAAGGATAAAGCTTAGCTGCTAGATTACATCTTGGTGATATAGTGTACTAAATAAATAATGTTGTTTTCTTATACGATGGAAATACCGATTACAAACCGGCCTCAAAGCAAAGTCGGTGTACCAGCATAGCGCGCGAGTCCTTACCTACTAAAAACATACAGAAGATAGTCTTGTCCATGTTGCTTGACTTCAGAGGATATCTATTCTGTCAAATAACATTAACAAAATATGAGTATTGTTGAAAATCAACTAACTGATGTTTGCTCTACCCTACGACGAGGTCAAACTCTATCTCTTCCAATGCTAATCTGAGTTCCCACAATGCACTTGTGGTAAGCAAGTCATTAACSTACGATTAGCTAAGATATTTTCGCTGGTAGACGTTGATAACTATTAGTCTAGGCAATCAGTCTGGTTGCGTTGGTGTATCGTTGCTGCGATGTGTTAAAATCATGGAGTTCCACGGCTCGAGTGATAACAGGGCTGACAGGGTCAAGCGAAAAACAAACAAGTTGCTTTTCAACGAAAGTTTCTGTCAAAAAAGACTTCATCGCCCGTGAAAAWGGTCCGGAAGCAACTTTGTATGCTTGTCATCATTCAAAATAATATTGAAATAATGCGCGTGTTTCAAAGTTCAACCGCTGAAAAATAGTGCTAAATGTTTACAAGTGCGTGTAACTTGAAGTGTTCAATCATGTGTTGAGTGGTCACGACCACCAAGCGAGGAACCGATATRATTATCATTAGACCTGTCTACTGTCTACATTAATGCTTTTCAAGCGTAGTGCGCGTTTATCAAGCGTAGTGCGCGTCTATCAAGCGTTCAGTTTTAAGAGCAAAGGGAGAAAAAAATGCACCCTCTCTTCATGGAACTCGGYAGCAATGCAGAAATCTTAGCCTCACGAAAAAAGGTTTTTGTAACAAAATTTGAGTAATATGYTGCTCTTACTTTCTGTGTTTTCAATGTTTTTCGTGTTTCATTCCAGTGTTGTGTTTCAGTTGAGGTACTCAGTAATGTCACCTTATGTCTCAATAAACAACTTTGCTTGTTCACCCACAGAGGGGGTAGACGACTTGTCAGTAGTTATTCACTAGCCTGCTCTCCTTTGGTCGGGATTCCTGTCCCTCCAAACTAATTGAAAGAGGTCAAAGAGGTAGTCTGTAGACATCCGGTTTAGATTAACCGTCGGTGTTTACGGATTAGGGCTGGATAATTCAAAAAAAATACTTCTGTAAACAAAGCATTCCACCAATCAGAGAAAGATTGTTACTGGTTTCACATCAAATCAATCAACAAGACTGGAACTACACTATTCTTCACTGGAAAAAATCGCGCGCCATAAAGGTTGTAAATTTGATGGAAATATGATGTAAGTGTCCAAAATGATGTKAATTTGATGAAAATGATTTACATCAAATTTACATCATTTTGGACACTTACATCATATATACATCAAATTTACAACCTTAAAAGCGCGCGATTTTTTCCAGTGCTTGGCGTGCAAGTTACGTCATCACCGCCATGTTGAATGAAAGTCACAAAGCATTCCTCATTAGTTTCTCTTGTTCATCCATCCAACATGGCGGCGATTGCTTTGTTGTTTATTTCTCACGGGGATTCCAAGTCATGTGGTTGCACACGAAGAATGGGAACATTGTTTAGGCTAAAACGTCAAATCGGACAGGTTTGTCACCCAGCATTACAAAAGAATAAGTACAAGTCAAACGTCGAGTCAAAGTTATTTTTTGCGTAATACACAACAAATATAACCTAAGAGCGGATTTGATGTTGTTGTTTTTTAACCTTATTGAAGGGATCGATGGATTATGTAGCGTCTGTCGCTCTCTACTCCTGATTTTTTTATTCCTGATCTATTTTTCCGAATTTTCACTCAAGTGTGCCGGCATTGRATTGTGGGTAGGTGTTTGCTTTCAATATGGCGTCRAATGTCGGTAGAATGGGTTTTCGTTCAGGCTCACCCTCTTTCCTGGTTATTGGTCTRTCGTTAGTTATAGTTGTTTTATTGTATAGTTATTGGAGTGTTTCATCCCGCAATAGTATGCTACTAAAGGACCAGACATTTTTTCAAGATCGTTTGCGAACGTTAACAAGTCAGAAGTCTAAAGTTGAACAGAAATATATTGCRGCTCGATCACAGATGACAGACGTGGAACAAGCGAAACGAAAACTAGAAGCAAAAGACTTATCTTCCTCTAAAAAACAGTCACAACTAGACTCCAAGATAAAAGAGCTTGAAAATGAGCTACAAGCGGCAAAAGAAAGATTTCGAACAGCCCAACAACAAGGGGTAGGCTAATGAACAATTATCCTAAGATAAGCTAACAAACTATTCCCAGACAGGATGTGGGTCTTGTTGACAATAAGTACGAGCTTCAGCTAACTTTCTTCCAATGTATTGCAGCATAGTTTTGCAGTAAGAGTGTTGATATTCATACTTTAAAAGGATGGGGCATGAAGATTTGAATTTCAACTATTTTCAGCTGGCCACATCAGTCTGAATTATTAAGCTTACTTCATCTCCAAGGGAATTTAAAATTTCCTTTAAGCATCTATACACAAATCTCTAATACTGATTAAGATTACTCTTTTGCCATCCAGGCTTTATTTTTTGTTTTGAAAAGCTGATATCAAATTTCATAATTTATTAATTCACTCYGAAAGTGGCACACCAARTTTTGTACTCAATTTAATGTTTTTTATAGTTCACATTTAACTTAATTTATGGTAAGTTTGTTTACATTAGCATCTTTCATGTAGCACGATGTCAAAACATTAAATTTACTACTATCCATTAACATAACTTATATAATTATGTATTTTAACAGGAAAAGAGCAAATCTGAACTCACAAAACTAAAGATTGGCATTGAAGCAACTAAGAAAAAATTCCAAGACATGAAAGGTAAGRGTTTTTCTTCASTCTCAATCTGTAGGTWCAAGATCCAGTAARYCTTTGTCCAGAGAGTCATTTRAGATGWSGATTTGGAGTGTGKAGTAAAAACATTTYYTTTGCAATCTTGAATCTTGCAGGTAAAGCCAGCTCAATGATGGAACTGCATCAAAACCTACAGGAAAAGCTGAGACTTCAATCTCAAGAGCTTTTGACAGTTAAAAATGAAAAGTAAGTTTCCAGTGTTTTGTACATCTTAACATATATTTTGAAGTTGGACCAATTAATACATATTAGATACTTCCCTGCAAACTATATTGCTGTCTATTTAAAAAGGTGTTTGTAGGTTGGATTTAACTTAATAATATACTTTGCTACATCAATCTGAATCATTGCTGTCTGTTTGAATATTGCAAATTTGAGAAAAGTTGGTCATCAATGACACTTTTACTTTATTATTACTAGCCTAGTTTGTCAGTTTATTGATTGATTTATGTGTTTTTAGTTAGGTAAAGGGTTTTTTTATTGTTTTACATTAGGGAGATGCTAAAAGTCCAATTGGAGCAAATCCAAGAGTCTTCCCAACATCAAAATAAAGAATTTAAACCCAAAATAAATGTAGAAGGGCAGAGTAAAGAAGASCAGAATGAGAAGAAGAAGCCAGTCAAGAAAACCATAAAGCAGTTAGTGCAAAAAACATCACAGAAACCAGTTGTTCAACCATCTCTCTCATTGGAGGGAGAGCAAGGTTAAAAATTTTAAATGGTTTTACACATAATAAATTTATTAATAATTCATTYGGAAAATGCAATGGAAACAGTGACCAAATGTTTATWTGAGCAAGAGATTTGCCCTGATCTTCAGAAGAATTTAACTTTATTTTTCTCTTAAAAATGATGCTTTATATTTAAGTTTTTAGCAAACTTGATTGACATGTTTTTAATCTCAGTGAATGATTCCACAGGATCACCTAAAGATCATCTGACACCTGGTAAGGGGAGGTTCTCAAGCATTACAAAGAAGTTTCATAAATTAGATAGAAAACAAAAGCTCCCTGGTTTAAAAAGCATTGCCAATGTTCAACAGAGAGAAGACCCCACATTAAATATCACTAAAACAACTTTAAAATTTAATGCCACAAACAAAGCCAATGTAAACATGCAAAACAACACAGCCACGCCAAGTCTTAATGCTTCCATCAATGCCACCGCAAGRGAAGGGATGCAACACTACATTAATGGCACTGTAAAGCCAGGCAAGAAATCACRACAATTTAATACTAGTAATACTATAAAGAAGAGTTTAATTTCCCTGAAAACTATAAATGCGAATACAACCGCAGGGTCTGTTCTTGCAGCCTCGACAAGTGTTTCAACAAAAGCAAATGAAGAAAGTACAAAGGAACCAGCAGAGCAAACAAATGAAAATCCAACTACAACTTCCAAGACAGATTCYCATAGTCAWGAGCAGAGTACCGAGGAGGGAAGGAATGCGGAGGATATAAAGGAGGASGAAAAGAAGGAAGATGAAAACAAAGAGGAGGACGAAAACCAAGAAGATGATCCAATACTGAGGCACCCGATGGCAAGAAACAGSAATTTTGGAAAACCTTTTGGAATGGAGGTACAGCCAGTTTTTAATGAATGAATGGAGGTTTG